TGAGATCCTGTTCAGCTCTGAGGGTCTTGTCTCTCTGAATGTATACACTCAAGGCCAACAGGGTAATTTTCTGGCTGTACTTCTGACCCTCAGCCTGGCCGGCAGAGTTTGGACAGAGGTGGCAGGGTGCAGCATGGGACCATAGACCAGGATCTGGCCTGGCTTTTCTTCTTGACGAGCCCCCGGGGCGGCCTAGAATCTGTGCAGTAGCCTGGGACCCGTCCTTAGACCAGATAATATTCTGCCCCCTGTGTGTGATGGGAGCCACAGAATCCCAGCCCACCAGGCCCACACTCATTTATTCAGCGCTCTTTACAGAGCGCCTCCCTCTGTGACAGGCTCTGAGCTGGAGCTCCTGGGCAACCCAGACAGGTAAGGTCCCCGTTCTCGTGAAGCTTCGTCAAACTGGCGAGACAGCAAATGAGCGGACAGATAAACAGTAGGAGGCAGGCCTGTGTGTGGCCGGGGGCATTGCCTTGGGAGTTGCCAGAGACAGAGATGAGTCTCAGGCCCCGGTGCGCCCCTGGAGCCACTACCAGGGCTGGCTCAGCGTCGGCCCCCACTCAGCAAACATTTGTTGAATTACCTGGCGTGAGAGAGAAGCATATGGAAAGTGCCCAGTCCTTCTGGTTCTGACTACAGGAGAAGCCAGCACATACACACAAACATCTCATTTCAATTAACCAAACATTTATTGAGGGCCCTTTATGTACTAGCAGGATTCCAAGCCCTGAGACTCCAGATGTGAATAAAACCAGATTCGCGTCTCTCCGAACTCACAGCCCAAGATGGAGGCAGGCAGGCCAGCCAGCCAGGACCCCAGTGTGACACCAAGGCAGAGCTGGGGGGCCGGGGAGGGAACACAGCAGGAGGGGAGGATGAGGAAGGAGTCACACATTTATACCTGAATCTACACAGATGTGGAAAGTTACCCCCAGAGAGAAACACCCTGAGCCTCACTGGTGTGCACACTGACTATCTAAGCCTGTGCGGGCATAAGTCATGGCCCCGGTAGGCTCGATGCCACGCCATGACTAAGGCCTGCTTGTGGTGCCCAAACTGGGGAGGTGTATGGGTGAGCAAGGGCCTGTATGTTGGGGGTTGGCACGGGCACCCTGGCAATCACCAGAGATAGGCTGGGAGATGCCATAGGTGGGCAGCGCTGTTAATTTGAACCTGAGAAGTTAGGTTGATAATTGGCTTGTGTGACACGGCAATTGCCAGAGACGGCTGATCAACTGCACACCAGGCCTACCCCTCAGATCAGAGGCCAGAGGTGGGGAATTTGACAAAAAGTTTTACTGTTAATTCTTGTGCTGGTTGAGGAGTTTGAACCGGGTCAGGGTTGGGACAGCAATGTGGAAACAGGCGCGCTCAGAGTTGGCGGTGCGGGGCTCACATTCCTGCAGGCACACTGCGCGCTTTAGAAACTGCCCGCTTCTCCATTTGGACGTTTTTTGCTGTTAGGAACAAACAAATAGAAAGTGTTTGGAGAAGCTCCTGGCACATGTGTGTGGTGGTAAAAGTTCCAGCCTGTTCATCTATGAGGAGAGGAACTGGGGAGCCAGCCCAGAGGACATGGCTGGAAGGTGACCTGTAAACGGCCCAGTAATTTGTTCATTGAATGAGAGTTGGATCCCTCCTCCAGAGCTGCCTTCTCCTGAAACCTTGGATTATTTTGCATATGCTTTTTATAAGAAATATTATTTCTTTGCCATAATAATAGCCATAGTGCTTTCTGCCTGCCAGGCACTGCTCTATCTGCTTCACATTGGATAACTAATTTAATCTTAACAATCCTATAAAGCAGGGATGTTATTATTCCCATTTTACAGATGGAAGAACTGAGTTCCCAATTGATTTAGTCAGTTGCACAAGGTGACACAGAAGGGTGGCACCAGAGTCCGTTCTCTAACCATTGGGCTCTGCCCCCCTTCTGGAAGGAAGTTCTGTTTTCTTCTCCTTCACCCTCACTATTATACCGTGAGACCCTGGGTAAGTCACTGCCCCTCTCTGAGTCTCTGCTTCTTTCTTTGGGAAGCAGAAAGTCCTCTCCCCCTGGTGGCCTCCCAGGGCCGACAGTCCATGTCCTTGCGTGGGCTGTGCTGGGAGAACAGGGGGCCCAGGTGCAGCATTCTAGCAGGGAGCAGGTATTTCAAGGGGTGTGCCCTGCATCTTGCCCCCTGGCACAGGGCCAGGGTGGAGAGCCCTCTTTGAGCCCCTCCAACAGACCCTCAGCTGGCACACAGGCCCCCGAGGAGGACCAGGACTGAGGACGCCAACGAGGGCTCCAGGAGAGAAACTGCTCCCGTGTAAACTCATGCAGATAAAATCGGGAACTGTGCATACAATTTGCACCCAAGAAGCTCAGAGCTTAAATATGTTCTTATGGGCTATTTATAGTCTTGGGAAAATTAAAGTTGTCTGGGTAATGGGAGCACTGGCCGGTTCCAGCTGGTCAGGGCCCACCAGGGGCTGGCGGGGGGGAGAGTGGGAACGGGGGAGCCTTCTGCTGCAGGACTCCGCCTCCCCAGTCCGTCCTCCCTGACGCACAGCCCGCACAGGCGAGACAGGAGGAGAAGACGGCTGGAGAGGGGCCTCCCTCCACCAAGGGCCTGTAATCATGGGTCTCCCAGTGACCTACGCGGTGTGAGGCCAGCTAGCTGCAGGACCCTTAGAGGTGAGAGGTGAGCTCCTCTACTTCAAGTCTGTCATTTCACCGATGCTGGGAGTGAGGCTCAGAGAATGGTAGCGACCTCTCCGATGTCACACAGCTGCTGGGGCCCAGACAAGCTCTGGTCTCCTGGTCCAGTCCGAGCGGGCATTCCCACGGTGAGCCTAGGCGTAAGACCCGGGGGCTGGCCGGAGACACTCCCTAGCGGAAGACGGCAGGCATTCAACATCCCGTGACCACATGCACTAGAGCAGACAGCTCCAAAGTGGGTTCTGAGTGGGGAAGGCACGTCCTGGGGGATTCAGAGAACGAAGCCCTTACCTGGCAGTCAAGGCTCCCCGTTCCCCTTTTAAATATCCCCCTCCCCTCCCTACACAAATCAACTCCCTCCAGCTACCCTAGGACATTCCATGTTCTCATTCCTCTGCACTCTTGTCCACACTCTTCCCACCTGGACCCCACTCTTCTCTAATTAACCGAAGCCCCTCGCGCCCCCCCTCCAAGGCCTCTGAAGCCCCATCCTGGCCCTCCTGTAACTTGCCCTCACTCTGAACTACCTACTGGAGCTAATAGCCCACCCAAGAAGGCCGGCTGTGATGGATGCTATAGTGGGCCACCCAAATTCACAATTTAGGATGAAGGCATTCCGTCCTCCCAGCTGCAGGGAACTTAGAGGCTCCAGGCTGATTCCCTCTGCAGAAATGGCCCTCAGCCAAAGAGATTCATGTGAAGTCCTGCCCGCTTCCTGGGACAGTGGATGTCCAATGGTTGGTGGGGGTATTTAGGCTCACCTTCCCTTTCCCCTGGCGGAACAATTCTAAGGACCATCCCAGCTCTAGAGCTTCCTCACAGATCAGCTGAGGCCCTTGTTGCAGCTGCACCTCAGTCCAATCTCTCCCTCCACCCAGTCCTGCATCCCTCACCCCGCACAGCGGGTATTCTCAAGAGCTCACTCACCTCCATCACAGAGAATGCTTTCCAGGGAAGCTGGTTTCGGATACCTGGTACCAGAATAGTTAAGCAGCCAGCCTGAGTTCAAATAGAGACCAACTATTTTAGCTCTATGACCTGGGCTGAGTTACCTAACTTCTCCATACGATTGTTCTGTCTATTCAGCAGGAATGATGCTGAGGCATTAGTTTCTATCTCCTGAGGGTCTTGTGAGGATTAAATGAGATGATGTATGCATGGCGCCTGGTATTGAGAAAGCACTTAATAAGCATTAGCTATTATTACTTGCCTGTATTTTGCCATGTATAATGCATTTTTGGCCCAAACTTTCAAGGAAAAAATCTTTCATTTTAACTTTTTAATTCAATTTTTTATTTATTTGTATTTAGAAACAAAACTGATTATCATATTCCAGGGTATTATTTTGCACCACGGATATCATTATTGCTTTCTAGAGTTACACTTTTAATGCATAAGCATAAATAAAATAATTAAGAACATTTGCATAGATACAGAATCAGTACTACCCATGTATAATGTGCATCCTTACTTTTCCCTCAAAAATTTGGGCAAAAAATTGCGCATTATACAAGGCAAGAATAGAATGGTATATTAACTTCTCTGAGGTTCAGGTAAATAAGGACAGGAAGTTATTTTCCGTGCCATGGGGTTGCTGGTGACAATCAAATAAGATTGAGAGACAAAGGATTAAATTCTGTGCCGCCTGTGACCTAATACAGACTTGGGTCAAGTTCCCTGGGGGCTGTGGTGTGGAAGCCCGACCCTCCCCCAGCTGATGAGGATCGCTGTATTGGTCTCCTATTACTGCTGTAACAAATTAGCACAAATTTAGTGGCTGAAAAAAAAAATTATCTTGCATTTCTGTAGGTCAAAAGTCTACTATGGGTCTCCTAGGACTAAATTCAAGGTATTGGCAGGCCCTGTTGCTTTCTAGAGGTTCTAGGGGAGACTCTTTTTCCTCCTTATTCAGGTTGTTGGCAGAATTCAGCTACTAGGGTTGTAGGCCTGCGGTCCCCCTTTGCTTGCTGGCTGTAGAATGAGGGTTGATCCTAGCTTCTAGAAGCCGTTGCATTCCTCAAAATCAGTGCAGGCAGGTGGGAGATGTCTCAAAGCTACCTTTTTGGTTATCTTTTTACTTCTAAAGACTTGTGTGATTAGATTGGGCCCACTGGGCAATCCAAGAGTCTCCATCTCAAGGTCCCTAATCATGCAAAGTTCCTTTTGCCAAGGAAACTTTCGCAGATCCCAGGGATTAGAACACAGATGCCTTGGGTAAGGAGAGGCCGCCCAGGCACGTCATAGCTGCCCAGCATGGGGCGCCCTCTGATCCAAAACTCGCCTCCTCCTCTTCCAGGGCGAGGTCTGTGCAGTTCCCTGTGCAGCAGGGACCTACGGCCCCAACTGTTCGTCTGTCTGTAGCTGCAACAACGGCGGTGCCTGCTCCCCAGTAGATGGCTCCTGCACCTGCAAAGAAGGTAATGCGCCTTCTTTCCCAAGCCCATCCCCCCCAGATGTGCACACTGTCGGGGGGCCACCAGTTGAAGGGGCAGGGAGCCTGTATGTCAGGCTCCAGCCAAGGAAACCCGTGCCAGGGACTTCAAGGGTGGGAATGCAATAAAGGGGGTTTGTTACCATGGTGTGAGAGGGGCTGAAGGAGCGACTCAGAGGCTGCCCCTGTGGGAGGAGCTGCTACCACTCCTGGGAGCGAGGGCCACCTGGTGGGAGCCGAGACATGGACAGAGGGACAGCACAGCCGTGCTGACTCAGGGAGGAGACACAGCCAGCACTGAGGCCCTGCCCAAGGCAGGGAAAGAAAAAGAGGTACCTGGCATCTATCCCGCTCCCACCCTCCAGACTGTGGACCAGGTGTCCCTTTGGCGAGCCCATCCCGGAGCCAGCGAGAGGGAGCTTGGGACATGCAGCTACCAAGGTTGGCCCCCGGTGACACAGAGCCGAGCGGGGGAAGGGGAGAAATGGATCTGAGGGCAAAAAGGCCAGGGACCAGCCGCAGAGTGGGAAACGAGGCTGTCCTCAAAGCGAAGGGCCCGGGGATAAGCCGGCTGACTGCACCCTAGGCCGGCATAGCCCTCCCCGCCGTGGCTGGCTCCCGGTCCCACGTGGTTCCCTGTCCCAGGTAGGGTCCTCAGCCCACAGCGAAAACAGTGGGAGCTGGGAGGCAGGAGACCTGCACTCTAGCCCCAGCTCCCGTAACAACCGTGCGTATTTCTGAGTGACTCTATGTGGAATATGGGTCCTAACTCAGCTATCAGAGAAGTTTGGGTTTGGGGGAAGTGAGCAGAATGCTATGCTGGGCCTGAATGGAGACCTGACAGCCTCCTGCCCTCCCCTCAGGGTGGCAGGGCCTTGACTGCACCCTGCCATGTCCAAGCGGGACGTGGGGCCTGAACTGCAATGAGAGCTGCTCCTGTGCCAATGGGGCGGCCTGCAGCCCCACCGACGGCTCCTGCTCCTGTACCCCCGGCTGGCTGGGAGACACCTGCGAGCTGCCCTGCCCGGTGAGTGGCCAGGGCTGGAAAGGACTCCGTGGGCCCAACGTTCCCGTATCCCCTTTCCCTGTGGTTATTTTGTCCACAGAGGTGTAAGGAGAAGAGCACGTGTGGCAACCTTGGATCAGGTCTCAGCCCCAGTTCTAACCTTTCTGCAGCTACTTTCCTACTGCGGACCTCAACCCTCTCCTCTAGAAAAGGGCAAACACTCGCCAGATACGGTGATATGGCGACGTGGCATCCCTTCCCCCTTGCAGCTCTCGGTAAGGGGGCTGAGAGCTGACTGGGCATATTTGCCTGAGCCCAAATGCAGCTTCAGAACCCTTCACGACCCAGTGCTATAGGACAGCCCTTACTGAGCCATCACAGTTGCCATTCCTTGATACGTCTAAGCGTCTTTCCGGTTCCAGCGTCTATAATTTTATGATCAGCATGTGGGAGGACTAAACCAAGCACGACCCAGCAATAACCACCTAGACTTAATCACCGGATCTCAGTCTAAGATACAAATAAGTTAAACCAACCGATGTGATAGGGTTGAATGAGTACCACCTTCTTCCACAGTAACAAAGAATAAATCGTCATTCTTCACATGTGAGTGATGCGTTGCAATTTGCAAAGCACATTTTCATTTGCAGTTTTAATTAATGGTCATTACAGCCTTCTGAGTTTGACGAGTGAGAAGCAGGGCAGGACCATCACCTCCCTCGTTCCAACCCCATGCTCCTGTTAATGTAGCCAGAGAATTATTTGGAATGGCTTCGTGGCTATGTTGATCCGATTATAAAAAGTATTCCCACTGTGCCCCAGCCCAAGTTACTCTGCGTCCTTGTGGGGCAGTGGCTCAGTTTTGTCATCAAAATCCAACAGAAATGTGTAAAGCTCTGGGGGTCCAGACCTGATCGTGTCTCTCTCCCGTCTGCCCACAGGATGGCACGTTTGGGCCGAACTGCAGCGAGCGCTGTGACTGCAGCCACGCTGATGGCTGCGATCCTGTCACGGGCCATTGCTGCTGCCTGGCCGGATGGACAGGTACGCCTTCCTGCCTCACCCCTTCCCAGGTCTGGTGACACTGGTTCTTGGCATTCTCCTTCTTCTCTTGACTGCTCTCTCCATCACTCCTTCTTCTTCTTACTCCCTAAATACATACCTTTCTCTTTATCTCCCGGCCTTCAGTCCTCCATTCCATTCAGTTGAACTAAACAAATATTTATTGAACACATATTTGCAGGCTGTCTTTAAAGGATAGGGGCACACTACTAAAGAATCAGACAAAGGCTGACACCTGGTGGATGAAGGTGTTTGCAGAAGATATGGTGGAGGGAGGGACAAGGAACTTTCTCCTTTGCCCAGGCTACGTCCTAGTCTCTCCACATCCTTTCAGCCCGCCTTCTAAACATATGGCATCAGCCTTTCCCTGCCGCTTCCTTCACCTGCTACCACCGGCCAGATTTCAACTTCAAGATTATCTCCTTCAGCCAGGCGATCTCTCCCTCCTACAACCCTCCCCCTCAACCTAGCTGAGACTATGTAAGGATCCCTTTTAGTAACTCCATAATACCCTACGCTTTTCTTTTTGCAATAGTCACTGAACCCAGATTAGTAACTATTTGTTTATTATCTGCCTCCCCACCTTGAGCATCAGCTCTGTGGAGGCAGGGACCGCGCCCACCTTGTTCACCGCTGTATCCCCTGCCTGCCGCACACTGAGACAGGGGCAACGGAGCGGTTAAGAATGCAGAGCTGGAGCCAGACAGCCTGGATTTGTGATCTTGGGCAGGTACTTAACCTTTCTGAGCCTGGACTCGCCATCCATAAAAGGGAGATAATTATAATCCTTAGATCTACAGGGTCTTTTGAAGTTTAGATGAGTTGTAAGTACTAACAGTGCCTAGTACAGAGTAAGTGCCCAGTAAATGTAAACTTGAATGCAGGAAATGCTTAATAATGACATTCTGGGTGAATCCACCTACTAGCCAGTCCCAAGGAGAAAGAAATACAGGCATTGCTGGCCGTGAATGTACTCAGATGAATAATTCACACCGGGCTGCTGAGCAGCCTCTGTTCTCCACAAGCAGAAAGTTGCTGAGCAGCTCAGGGCTGGGACATCGCTTCCTCGGCAGCACCTTCGACCTTCCCTTGCCCTGCCCTTTGGTACACCGGCACCCTAGGCTCATAGCTGGAGCCAAGTAGAAATCCACTTTAATTTTTCATTGCCTTAATTTCAAGTGAGCCGGTAAGATTTTAATGACATCTGGTACTTTAGAAATTCTGTCTTTGATGGACAACCTTTCAGCAAATCCTCTGCTATTCTAAAACTAATTTCCCCAAACATGGTCCTGAAGTCATTTCAAAGGAGCGATTGATGTCTTGAGGTTTATCGTGCAGAAGGACACCAGCCCGGGGTGGGGAGGGGAAGGGCTACGGGCCCCAGCCCCCGCTCGGTGCGCCCTCCCCAGCCACCCTGGGCTCCTTGGCTCTTGGCGTATTGCTTGTGTCTTGGCGCAACACAGGCTTTTCTGGGCCCAAAGTGGGCACATGTCTTTTCCCCCAGTCCCCATTAGCCACAAGCTTCTTGTTGACTGGTGTCATGTCTAATTCATCATGCCCTGCACATAGAAGGTGCTTACTACATGTTTACTGAGATAAATTAAAATGAGCTGGCCTATAACTACATATGGTTTTCCCTCTCAAAGTGAAGGAGACCTTGAAGATGATATATTCCAATCTGTTCACGCTATAGATAAGAAAAGGGAGGTGCCCAAGTTCTCAGGACATTTGTGACAAGGGATGGAAGACACAGGATTGCATTTTCAGGGGTAGCCATTTATTCACTGGATTAGCATTTCCTGACCCAAGCAGTCACCAAGTCTTTATTTCGCAGTTACCATGTGGCCAGCACTGTGTCGCGGCCAGGACTCTTGTCAGGCCCGGCAGTGAATGGCAAAACTCAAAAACGGTATAGTCCCTGAGCACCTACCGTGTACCAGACACTGTGCTGGGCACCAGAGATGCAAAAATGACCAAGATGGCATCATTGTCCACTTGAAGCACTGAAAAAGAAGGGTCAAAAGTCTCAGGAAACCATAGTCCCTGTCTTCAAACTGCTCACGGGGGAGACAGGATTCATATGTATGAAACATTCAGATAATAGGTGGGGACAAAACTGTATGCTGGTGATTGTCAATTAGATGTTTGATTTCCTCGGCAGACATCCAGGAAGGCTTCCTGGAGAAGGCACACCCTAAGCAGATCCTGAAGGATGAGCACTGCTGAGTGGCTGCTGGCCTTGTGGCATGAACTAGATAGAGGTCACAATATGAGGACGCTTAGCCCATCCTCATATTAGATGCATGGAGGGTCCTGGAAAATAAAGCAGGGAGAGTCCCTACGGATTAGAAGGGGACGGACCTCTAAGAGGAATTATTATGCGCCTTCAACTACAGGGGAAACAGGGCCTAGAAAAGGCAGCTGACAAAGCTATGCAACTTCAGAAGCAGTAGTTGGAGAGCCTCCCACCAGGCCCAGGTCGGCCCCTTTGACCACACTAATAAGTCCCCTCTAGAATTGGGCACTCCACACAGAGAACCCTGGGCCCTTCTCCCCACTTAGGTCCTGCTGTCCTAAGTTGCAGGTACCTCTTAGAACATAAAAGAAGCTCAAACATAAAGCCCCACTCCCTCAGAACCAGGCCTAGAATAGAATAATTGTCCAATCCTAGAGCCCAGTGCGCCCTTGCAGCCACCTGCATTCTGAGCATAATCACCTGTCCCTGCGGTTCTAATCTCCAAGGAAGAGGACCCCTTTCCAACGTGAAAACATTCTGAGGATCCCACATATGAGAGGAGCTGTGCTTTTAATATCCACCACTTGGAGGCAAACAGTAGCAAAACGCTGCCAATAAATTCAGGGTGTTTCATAAGAAGTGCGTTTTATGAATCATAGTAACATTTGCATATAGTTCTAGGAAAGAACTGGGTCTACATCTGACACATGAGCTTGGTCAGCTGACAAAGAATACTTGATGCACAGGTGGAATCAGAGGTCCCCGTCCGATGGCAAGGTCCACCTTAGTCCAGGGCGCCCCTCCAGGAACAGCAGCATCTCTTGGCCTGCAGCCTGAATCCTGGGTTTTCAGCTACCACAGGCGAAGGAATTCCTTGGGACGGATCACAGCTTCTGGCTTTGCACAGCTTCGTGGTTTCCCCTTCCCCAGGCTCCCCTCCAGTCAATCAATGGTGCTGGGCCAGGACGCACCTGTTGTGCACCTGACACTCCATTGGAGAGACTCTGTCGAAGGGTGAAAGGGGGCCACCAGATTCTCACTGGGGAAAGATCCCACCCCCTGGGGAAAAGCTCCCCCCTCGCCCTCCACACAGAGACCTACTTCCTGGAGAGGGGCATCTGAGGCCCCAGCCTGCTGTGAGAAGGAGCCGTCACAGAGAGGGAGCAGGGTGCTAGGCTAGAATGAGGCACTGGAGGGTGAGTGAAGCCTGTTGCCTCCCCTCCTTCTCTGTTCTCTTCGGCTGGCTTTGCCCCGCCTTTCCCCACCAGCCCAGGTGGGCTCGTACAGTTCCAGCCTACCTCTTAATTGATCACACAGTTCTCCCACCGCCGCTGGGAGTGGCTCTGTTTACGGGCCTGAGTATCTTCCTCCCTTTTTCTTTCTCTCTCTCAAAATCCCTGCCTTTATAACAAGGCAGACATGAGTTTTATACGAATTCTGCTCCTCTCTGAGCTTCTGATATACACCTTCCAAAGCCACACTGGTCTCCAGGGCCTACCTGGTCCATTTACCTAATTAATACGCGTGAGACTAGAAGCCCTTCTGCTTGGAAGCAAACCGCCCCCTAGAGCTGGGGCCCCCAGCCTCAGGCCTTTTAAAATTTCTTTTTATCCTTTGGAGGTAATCACCGCCAACACACACGTCCTCTCATTCAGCTCAAAAAGAATGTATAGGCCTTGCTCCTCTTTCTTATTGAGAAATCCCATCCATTCCCTGTAGGCCACCCTTCAGCAAACTGAGGGTCATTAAATCCATTTGTTGGGTCACAGCTAGCTGCTTTATTTTTTTTTTTAAGAATAGACTATATCACAGTGCAGAGAAAATATCAGAGTGTGTCATACACAGTAAGTGTCATTTTCCAAAGACTTGGTTTCTATAATGCATATGTGTGCACATCTGATATAAAATACATATTGCACTGCTGATGGTGGTCAAAAGAATCTGGAAAGGCCCTGCGCCCCCCTCGGGGCCCCTGCCCCGGAGCTGACGGCTGGGGCCCGGGACCCAGTGAGAAGCAGTGGCGCCCGGGCTAACGTGAACAGGCGTGCAGCCCACCCCCAGCTCGTGCAGCCCCTCACAGCAGCACTCACTTGCCCCGTAGTTGGTTTCTCCCAGGCCTAACCCTGGATACCAGCTAACATGTCAAAAATGAAGGGGGCCCTCCATGATCTGGTCCCTTAATCCCACGACCTCATCTCTTGCCACATCTCATTTCACACTTTATGGTGCGTCCCCACGGCACTATTTTTTCTGTCAAGGCATGACTCTCCCTCCTGCCTCCTGTTCTCTGCACATAGGGTTTCCTTTACCTGGTCAGTTTCCCTTTAGCCCTTAGGACTCAGTTTCAGCATCGCCTCTTCCTAGAAGCCCTCCCTGAGAGGCCAAGCCTTGGCTGGGTTTTCCTTCCCCATTCCCAGGTACACTGTTTGCCTCCGCCTCCTCATCGGCATGGGGTGCCCTTCCCACCGTTCTTCCTGTTGCCCTCGCCCCTCTTACCACTGATCTGAGTCTGCCTCTGGCCCACAGGCATCCGCTGTGACAGCACATGTCCACCTGGTCGCTGGGGCCCCAACTGCTCTGTCTCCTGCAACTGTGAGAATGGTGGCTCCTGCTCCCCAGAGGATGGGAGCTGCGAGTGTGCCCCTGGCTTCCGAGGACCCTTATGCCAGAGAAGTAAGGCTCAGCCCCTCCACCCCATCCCCCAGACTTCAGATGGCTCATCCCCCAACCCCTTCCCAGGTGGAACTAGTCCTGACCTGAGAGAGGCTGGGTTCTCAGAGTCAGCCCCCATCAAATCCCCACCTCGAGACCCCTGTCTCCCTAGTTTTTTTGTCCCCAAGTCCAAGGACCGGAGCACAGCTCCTCTCTGCAGAAAGAGACAGGCCCTCCAAGGAGTGGGGTGGGTGTGGCTCTCCCCACATTGTTAAGGAGCCTACCTTCATCACTGTGTGGGACCAGAGGGGTGACCAGGCTGGCTGGGGTCCCTTGGGCTGCTGACCACATCTCCCCTTTGCCCTCAGTCTGTCCCCCTGGGTTCTATGGCCACGGCTGTGCCCAGCCATGCCCGCTCTGCGTGCACAGCAGTGGACCCTGCCACCACGTCAGCGGCATCTGTGAGTGCCTCCCTGGATTCTCTGGAGCTCTCTGCAACCAAGGTACTGTCTCAGGGGACAACGGAGCCAGGGAGGTGAGGAGTCCTGGGAGGGGAGTGGCAGGGAAGAAGGGGCTTGGGGGGGTTCTCCTCATACTCTGTGGAGGCAGCTCCTTGCTTCTTCAGGGCTTGGGCCTGCCTTTCTAAGACCTGGGCATCACAAGGCATGAGACAAAGCCATGATGCAGTTAAAGGCACAGGATCAGAGGTTAAATCATTTCTCCACGGTCTCACAGCTGTCAAGTGGCAAAGCAAGAAACAAATTCTGACTCCAAAGCCCATGCTAAATGGATGAAAAGTGAGATAAGCATAGGTCAGGTCCGCATGGTTTATGTGAGGGCCAAGTGGTAAAAACAGAAAAAGCTGTGGGAGCTCAGAGGACTGGGCTCTGGCTTCAGCTGGAGATGGGAACTTTCCGGCCCTTCTCCCCTGGCACTCAGGCCAACATCACTAATCCCACACCACCAGCTTTCCTGCCTCACCAACTCCAGCCAACCTCTACCACTCAACAGGAGTTGAAAAGGGAGAGGAAGCTTAACTTGCTTTGGTGTACTGCTAAAGTGGCTCTCTGTAGCAGAGAGCCCTGATTTGTAACATTTGTAAATGCCCATGATACAATATTTACACCTGTGGCTGATTCCAAGGTACCAATGGTTTAACACCAGTTACAGAAATCCTGACTACTTAACAACAGTGCAAAGGTAGAAGCTGGCCTCAGCACAGACCATTGCTTATTGCTTAGTTAGGTCAGGACATTGTGCATTTGGGGGGATGGCTCCCTGCTGTGCAGGGCTTCCCTGGGCCTTAGCTTGAAAGGAAAAGAAGGGAAAAAAAGGCATTCAAGTAGAGGAAACAGCCTGGGCACAGCACAGGGGAGAGGGCAGGCGACTGTCCAGCAGTAGGGAACAGCTGAAGGATGGAGAAGCTGGGGGTGGGAAGGGGGCTGAGAAGGTAGTCAGGGCCTTCAGAACAGCTTTGGACTCAAGGTTGCATAATTTGCTCTCTAACCTATATGGAGGAAGGGGATCTCGGACGAAGGTAAATGTAGAGCCAAAAGCACCTTCGAGGTCATCTGCTCATGAATATCATCTGGCCTCTTCTTAAATGCTTCAACTGAGAGCTCGCTCCCTCCCAGAGAACTGACTCTTTTGATAAATAATCACCACTGAGCTGGGCTATTTTTTAAGTGTATGGGCCGTTAATATGTATGAGTGAAAAGTTTACTCCACGATGCTTTGAGGTCATGAGAAGTTTGGGCCCCAGGGAAACATATATGACAGTTTCATTTGCTTGCCGCCCTCCTAGGACAGTTTAATCATAACCTAACACATCAAGGTTTACATATTAAACATCAGAGACCTGGCCATCAATATAGATAGGCCCGGTCTAAATTAAGTCCCAAGCAGCCCAAGGAGTAACTCTCAGATCCTGTGATGTCTGATTTATTGCCCACTGGCCTAATGAGCATTTTCCACATATAGATCTAATAGAGTTTGCTATTAATGGCAACTGCCCTGGTTAAGTCTCAAACCTAGTAAAAAATTGAACTGACACTTTCTAATGACCAGCTTTCCACCGAGTTACAAATTACAGACATTGCTTATGCAGAATCATTAAACATAGATTAAACATAACCAGCTGTTTTCTTTCCACGAGCCCCCCTTCTCTCCACCACCCCTCTCTTTGCCTCACTCTTGATTCAGCTAAGAAGCAGACCAATTAACATATTAGACTGATCACATTAACAGCTCTGTGGGTGGATCTGTCAGCCTTGTATATGTGAGAAAGACTTCAAAGATGAGAATGCCTCGTTAGAGAAGCGCGGAGCTGGTTCTGAGATGGGAGTGGAGGCAGAGGCTCTGGTCAGCGCTGGGAGGCGGGTGCTCCAAACCAAGCCCCTCCCAGAGGCAGCCGGCGATGCGCTTTTCAGGAAGCTGAAGCCAGAGCCTCGGCTTCAAATGGGTGAGATGTGTGTCATCGTCCTGGCAGTGGACCTGCCCTGGAAGGAGGTTGGGTTTTGCCAGGAGCACAGGGCCCCAGCCAGCCAGCCTGCCCATCACTATTAACCCACAGCCTGAAGCCAGTGGTTGAGGCTTATTGCCCCCATTTCAAAGCTGAGGGAACACAGAGGAGTGATGTAGTTGGTACAAAGACACTTGGCCAGTAAGTGGCAGAACTTCCCAGCTGTGTGACCTTGGGCAAGTTATTTTACGCCTTAGTGCCTCAGTTTCCTCATTTGAAGTAGAATTAATAAAAGGGAGTAATAATGAAAATACATAATGAGAGTATTATAAGCTTACTTGAACTCGTATTTATGAAGCACGCCGAGTAGTGTCTGGTGCACAGAAGTGCAATGGAAGGTGTTCTTTGAATACGTAAATGAACCTATGACCCAAACCTGAGCCTTTCAACTGGAGAGCTCGGTATGTACTCTGCTCCCTTCATTAGCTGTCCCAACCACTAATCATGTCCAGGAGAGATACAGAGTGGACACAGATCCTAGGCACCAGGTGCCCGCAGTCTGGTCGGGGAAGGGCTGGCAATGCACGTGCCAGGCAGCGCTGCATGAAGGTGAGTGCAGCCCAGGGTTTGAGAGAGCTGGGCCCTGGGGAAGTGGCTTCTCTCCAAGAATCAAGACCTCCCCATGACCCTCCCTGTGGTTCAACCAACTGAGGGCCTCAGGGGTTCAAGGAGTGCCTCCCCATAACAGGAGTGCAAGGAAGCCTTCTGGGAGGATGTAGGGCTGCCTAGGACTGGCCTTTGAGGACAGCATGTTGAGCTGAGAGGCGCTCAAAGGGACAAGAGTTTCCAGCAGAACCCACTGGAAGGTCACTGCTCCTAGGGCCTATTTTGGCCACTTTGAAACATTTCCTGAGTGTGTGCTGCATGCCAGGCACTGTGCTGGGCACTCAGACCCAGCAAAGAACAGGAGAGCCAGGCTCCTTGTCCCCAAAAGCCTGTAGTCTGGAGAGGAAAGTTCTGAGCCCAGCCATTCCCAGCAGAACTTGGGAGCCAGGTTAGGGGAAAAGGGTGGCCAGTGTACTTCCACATACTCAGCTGTCATTTTTCTAGGCATTCTGGGGGACACAGACATGGGTGGAACCCAGTGCTGGCCTGAAACAGGCTCACAAGCCACAGAAGACCAGGGAAGAAACTCAGAGTGTTCTCGAGGCTCAGACAGGGACAAATAGCCCCTCAGGACAGAAAGGAGGGTGAATCAGATAGGATCAAGTTCAGCTACAGGTGACATAATGTCTGGTTTGAAAATGACTAACATTATGTCCCTCACACATTAAAAAACAAAACAACGACAACAAAAAAAACCAGGGAGAAGATCCAGAAGTAGGCCACTGGGGAATGATGGAGTACAAAAATGTCAGAGACCCAGGCTCCTTCTATCTTACTGTTCAGCCATCCTTAGCACATGGCTTTCACATCTGATGAAACATAACTGCTTAAGCTTCAGCCATCTCACCCACAATCCTTATCCATAAGCCACATTATCCTTCAACAAGGAGAACAGGCAGAGAGGTGCATTTCCACTTACCATTGGTCAGAATGCCATCACATGGCCAGGCCAAGCTATGCAGAAGCCCAAGAGATGAAGTCTTTATACCAGGTGGCCATAGGACCAGCTAAAACTCGCAACTCTGCTAAGAAGAGAATTATTGTTGAAGAACTGCAGAAAGATCATGCAGGAGGTGGTATTTAAAATGAGCCCTGTAGGCAGGGTAGGATTTCTACAGCTAGACATGAGGGTCAGGGAGCAGCTGGAGCAAATAGAGGCATGGGGTGTATTTGGAAATTGGTGTGTGGACCAGTGGCTCATATGTTTGGATGAGGTAGATTAAGTGCTCATCTCTAGGATCCAGATTTTATTCTGGGGCAATGGGAAGCCACTGAGGATGTCAGGCAGGGCATAGGAGTGCCATGAGGAGAAGTGTGCTTTAGCTGAAGCTGTATGAAGAAGGTAGAGGATGAATTGCAGGGGAAATGAAAGGTAGGCACCCAATTAACACTCTGACTTAGTCCTGAAGTTGTTCGCAGCCTAGTTGAGGAAACCAGCCCTTCCTCCACAGACCAAGGAGTAACTCCTCCAGAAGGGCTGACACCAAAATCCTGCAAGTGACTCAGAGTGAAAATACCATGGAAGCTCCGTGAAACAGCGCTCCCTGTGGACCTGGGTCGGGGTACAGGGGTGACCTCTTGAGGAAGGGGTTGAGCTGAGGCTTGGGGAACAGGTCAGATTTAGAGAGACAAAGGAAACGAGTGGACAGGGCCGGTCCCCCAATAAATGGCAGGCAGACCCGCCTCCTGCATATGTGCCTCTCCTTCCAGCTACAAACAGTTCTCTTCATGGCTGTGGGGTCAGTGATGCTGGCAAGAGCGGGGTAACAGAGAGCAGAGGCTGCGGAGCACTGCGGGGAGCATTGGGCTGAGTGCAGCGGCGGGACCCCCAGCCTCTCCACTTGCGTCTGTGAGACCTCAGTCATGTGCTTCTACCCCCTGGGCCTCAGTCTGTTCCTCTGCCAGAGGGGGTCATTAGCAGAGCCTTCTGAGGAATGCAGCCATGGGTGCTAGAGGGGAACTCATCCATGTGCAAACAGAGAAAGTGGGCAGTTCCTAAGCAGATCCTTGACCCCAGAGTGGTGACGGCCGTGGCTGGGGACTTCTGGGGATGGATGCAGCTGTGGGGGTGGTCTGATGGTGGGAGGGCAGGTGCCCAGCTGTCCTGTGCCCACAGTGTGTGCCGGAGGGCACTTTGGACAGGACTGTGCCCAGCTCTGCTCCTGTGCCAACAATGGGACCTGCAGCCCCATCGATGGCTCCTGCCAGTGCTTCCCTGGATGGATTGGCAAGGACTGCTCACAGGGTAAGCTGCTGCCCCCTGGGATTGTCCCCCCATCCCAGGTTCAGGCCCCAAAACACCCCGCTCCTTGCCCCTGGTGCCTCTACTTCCCAAGGCTGAAATCTCCTTCTGCAGATAGGAATGTCGGCCTGCATCCCACTTAGCTAACATGATGAATTATGAGGATTGATGACTTGCATTATTAACTGCCAGTATCAAAGGTATTGATGACGTTGGTAGTACCATTGATATTACTAATACCATTAATATTGCTAATACTGAAAATTAATACTCCATCAGCACCTGCACAAGTAGCCCCTATGTCTAGATGGAGAGGAAGAGGGGACAGGGACTGGCATGCTGGAGTTCGGAAGCAGGGAAGCGAGGTGAGGGCAGTCACCTTAGAGAGACGGGGGCATCGTCTGGGTGGCCCATGTGAATGATGTCCTGGTATCATTAGCCTACACAGGGCATTATATATGGGCTGTGCATGTAAGGTGTATCCAATCTAATATGGAGGTAACAGAGACCCCCAATCTAAGGGCAAAGACCCAGACTCTGCCCTGTGTAGCTCCTTGGCTGATGGGTGAGATCCAGCAGGTACCCCTTAGGGAGGTCCCAGTTAGGTGGTCGGGCCTGAGGGGGCTCCCATTATGATGGAGAAGATGGGTGCCATCCTCAGGGAGCTCACCAGCCAGAAGAGCAGAGTCCCTACCCTGGGAAAGTTCTCACCCTCCCAGGGAAGTTAACACACGGTGTTCACACAGTAAACTGCAATGTTTAAGTTTACCACACACACCTACACATTCCAAGTCAGTCAGTCCCCTGAGAGGGAAGGTTCAGAGCTGGAGAGCGGGCAAAGAATCTGGGCTTGATGGGAACTCTGGGTAACGGGGCCAAGAAATGAATGGAGAAATTCTGGGGACGATATGGTAAATCCCCTGAAAGCCAGGAAATGCCGCCTGGCATCTTGGCTCTGACGTGCACACTACTCTTCCTCCCTTTCTGTCTGTTCCTCTCTGCCTTGCCCTCACCCTCCACACCCCATCCATCCCCAGCCTGCCCACCTGGCTTCTGGGGCCCTGCCTGCTTCCACACATGCAGCTGTCACAACGGGGCGCGCTGCAGCGCCGAGGATGGGGCCTGCCACTGCACCCCTGGCTGGACCGGACTCTTCTGCACACAGCGTAAGCTCCGCCTCCTTGCCTCCCAGCTTTACAGAATCCCATGCTGCAGCCTACTGGCGGCCTTGGGCATTGTCTAGGGCTGCAGCCAGGGGAGGGAGGAGGCGGGCCCCAGGGCCAGGAGCCCCACCCTGACCTCTAGGATTGAGTTTGATTGGATTCAGGGGTTGAGGAGCTCAAAGTCCTGGGAGGTCAGCATTTCCCCAGCAATCATCAAGACCAGCACCCCCGCCCCCCCCCCCCCCCCCCCACAACACACACAGTGGGGCCCAGAGTGAAGAGTGTGGCCTGTCACTACACAGCCAGAAGACATCAGCCTGGCTTCTGGTTCCAAGACACCTTTGTCCAAAGGACTCCCCACTCACAGCGTGAGGGTTTAGAGCATGGGAATGTTCCGGGTGCACGGTCTCACTAGTTCTCACCTCATGCGAGGTGGCAGGAGACAGTTTTGGTCTCAGATGCACCTCCACAGTTGCCCCCACCTTGTTTCTCCAGGCTGCCCAGCAGCGTTTTATGGGAAGGACTGTGGGCGCGTGTGCCAGTGTCAGAATGGCGCCAGCTGTGACCACATCAGCGGCAAGTGCACCTGCCGCACAGGCTTCACCGGGCGACACTGCGAGCAGAGTAAGCTGTTCCAACCTGTGACCCTGGGTGTCGGTGCCAGGCCTCAGCCTCCTGGAGCCTTCCCCTTCGAGAGCCACCCATGCAGGGCCCTGCACACACTGCTCCCTCGACTCCCGGGGCCACTCCCAAGGGCTGAAGGTCGCGCCTACAGTGGTGGTTGAAGTTTCTTCCTCCCATTAGGTGGACGTGGGATACTGCTGAGGCACAGCAGCGGCCTGAGGGGTCAATGAGGGAGTAAAGGGAGGGAGACCTTGCCTGATTCTTCCTCGAAGCCCCATGGCATCCAGCTCAGGGCCTGGTATGTGGAGGATGCTGTGTAAGTGAAGAGAACATAGGGGTGGGTGGCCCCTAACTCAGGCCTAGAGGTGCTGTCTAGCCCCAGGTATCAAACCAAAGCACGACGAGTGCCACAGAGAAGTAGGTTTCACTCTGTGAGGCAGAGGCATCCCCATGCGGGCTGGGCGGGGTGGGGTAGGACTGCACCTCACTGTCCACCCCCACTCTTCTTTGTGTTACACAGGATGCGCCCCAGGAACCTTTGGCTATGGGTGTCAGCAGCTGTGTGAGTGCATGAACAATGCCACCTGTGACCACGTCACCGGCACTTGTTATTGCAGCTCTGGGTTCAAAGGAATCAGGTGTGACCAAGGTAACACTCCGATGGCAGAGTCCTCAGGCAAGGGGCTGTGGAAAGGGCCCATGGAGGCAGCCTCTGGGGAGATTCCGACGGGGACAGCTGGATTCTATGAGGGCACTTGGTGACTTTATTCACGTTTGGGAGGGGAGCAGGAGCGGGCGGAGGTTCCAGGCGCCGGAGAGGCAGGTGGAGCAGGCAGCGGCAGTCGCGGCCTCCTGTGCGCCATGCAAGCTCAGGTAGCCACGAGCTAGTGCTGTGGAAAGGTCACCAGACCGTCTGAAGATCTGCTGAATTCTGGTTCTGCCAAGTCGCGAGGTGTCCTTGGGCAGGTCAGTTCTTTTTGCTGGGCCTGTTATTCCACATGAGAAGTGGAAAGAGTACATCGATCCTTGTCTTCTGCCACAGCACGAGGTTCTGGTGGAGCAAAGGAGCCCAAAGGGGCCCTAAGGGGCACAACCTTGGTTCCAAGTCTAGTCAGGAGACACCCCACAGGGCAGTTGTGAGGAAGGAGGTGAGACAGTGTGAGCACCTAATAAAAGGCTTTGTATGTATAAAACCCCTTTTTAAAGTGCTGCAAACAGGTAAGGGATTATATTGCTCATGGTGCTCAGAGATGGAGGACAAGAAAGGGCTCAGCCGACACACACAAAGAGGGGTTTTATGAGCAGTAATCGCGGGCACACGGCAACAGCACTCACAGCCTTCCCAGCCAGTCCGTCATATGGTGCTCACAGTCCCCTGAGGACTGTCCCCATGTTACAAATGAGCCAACTGAGGACTCTCTCAGTCACATCTAAGAAACACAGCTGGTACGCAGGGAGAGGGGCTGAGACCAGGTTTTCCCCGACTCCTGAGAAACTGACTGTACCAATTATTGGTTGTCTGATCTTGGGCAAGTTACCTAACCTTTCAGTGACTCGGTTTCTTTTGTGAAACAGAAAGAATTAGTCCTTATTTCATTGGGTTGCTGGGAATGTTAAATGAGTTAATATCCGTAACTCATTTTTGGAACAGAGTAAAATACTCAACACTTTGTTTCCTGTCCATGATCACATTTGTTCCTCAGGAGTCCCACAGGATGCCACCCACTCTAGGCAGTTACAGAAAACAGGCACGGTGAGGGTTGGGGTCCCAGAAATCAAAAAATAGGGCCAAGGCCAGAACCCAGGTCCCTAACGTCAGAGGAGCCTAGGTCCCGCAGAGGAGAGCTGAAGAGCACGCAGGCCACAGGCTCAGGCCCTCCCTCCCCCCACAGCTGCCCTCATGATGGAGGAGCTGAATCCCTACACCAAGATCAGCCCAGCGCTGGGGGCCGAGCGGCACTCGGTGGGTGCCGTCACGGGCATCATCCTCCTGTTGTTCCTCCTCGTGGTGCTGCTGGGCCTGTTTGCCTGGCGCCGGCGCCAGCAGAAAGAGAAAGGCCGTGACCTGGCTCCCCGCGTCTCCTACACACCTGCCATGAGGATGACCAGCACGGACTACTCCCTCTCAGGTAAGGGCTCTGCCCCCGGCCTCCCGCCTCCACACACACACACACAGCCCAGGAAGAGCCACACCATACCCTTGGGGACGCCCGAGTTCAGTGCTGAAGGTGGGCAGTCATGCTTGCAGGGTTGGCGGCTGGGGCCGGGCTCTCAGACTGCCCTAGAGATGCCGGTGGGTGCTGGGGGAGCAGGAGCCTACTTGGGAAAGGCAGATGGGATTCCATGGGGTGTCATTTCCTGGGCCCCCAGCACGGACTGCCCATGGTTAGGACCTCCTTCCATTTCCCCAGACCGTCCCATCCTTCAGTCGTAAGAGCACCTGATACTAAGCAGTGACTTTCCAAAACTGTCCAGGGGAACCTCTCCCCAGGCCAATGCCTGTGACACCTCAGGAAACTGGCCTGGGGGCCTGGTGTCCAGATCCTGTCCCAATTTTGCTTCCTCAGGTGAAGGTGTCAGAGTAACCCTCCCTTCCCAGTCCCCGGAGGTAGGAGGGCCCTATCAGCAGAGTGGGAGAGGGCACCAGCCTGCTCAGGGGAGGTCTGGCCAGGCCTGCTGGCCCCCAGTCCGTCCGCACAGGGTGGGAACTCCACACATTTTGTCTGGAAGGCTGAAGGGGGTGCGGGTGGGGCTACTGGGTCAGATCCTTACTCTCGTCCTTCCTCTCCCCTGAACCCTGGATGGCTGCCATAGAAATAAGGCAGGCTTTTTGCTTCATATTTAGTTCAACAGAAGAGGCCAAAATGCTCTGAAATTGAGCCCAGGAGGCTAGGCCTGTCTGGCTGAGCACAAGGATGACAGCTCACTCCAGCTGGCCCATAGCTCACGGCTGACCTGAGGCCTCCTACACCTCGTACTTAAAAAACCAACATCACATTAGCCCATTCCTGCTACACGTTGCCTACTGGGTGCCCAGCTCCATGCTGGGTGCTACAGGATAGACAGAGGCGGCCCAGATGCAGGCCTTACCTTCAGAGTCCCTGGCCTGAAATCCCTCACTCACCCCCATCCTGCGGTTTCAACCAACACACGCATCCTCTCATGAAAGCACAAGCCCACAGAAGTTTTAGGGACTTTCTTCTATGACAGTAATGAGCAATGGCCAGGCTTTCCCATGCCATTCCACTGGAATTCCCCAGCCCTGTCGAGAGGTCCTAGAATCCACAGAGCAGGGGGGCGGGACTGGGGCCTCACTCCTGGGATCTAACCTTGGGGGGAGGCAGGAGAGGGTCAGCACAGCCCTACGCAGTGACTCAGGGACATCTGAGGCTGTCAAAGCCACCACCCCTCATCCGTGCTCCAGCTGCTGGTGCCACCCTCCACACTGGCAAGACTAACGTGCATCCTGCGTGCTGCAGGGAGGGCCACCACGAGGGAAGGGGTGCATCAGCCTCCACAAATTTCTGTAGGGGCAAGGGACGCCGAGAGCCTGGGGGACCGGCTGTCTCCCTTAGCAGAGCGCTCTCAGGGCTGCCCAGCACAAGTGTTAGTACTGGGGCCTCTCTCCAGGGGCAGGCGTGTGATGGTATGTGGCACCTTGTTCTCTTCCCAGATTTGTCTCAAAGTAGCAGCTATGCCCAGTGCTTTTCCAATTCCAGCTACCACGCACTGGCGTGCGGGGGGCCTGCCACCAGCCAGGCCAGCACTCTGGACAGGAACAGCCCCACCAAGGTACCGGGCCCCTACCTCCCCAGTCCCGATCCACTGTCCTCTCATTCAGTCCTCACCTCTGCCCAGGAAGGGACTGTGCCCCCCACCCCCTGCCACCTGGAGAGTCCATGGGGAACCAACTGCCAGCACATTAAACACAGCTCTGTGGTCCATGGGACATGTAAACATTCTGTGAAGCATGTAACAGGGAGCCTGCAGGTTACATGGAGTCAACAGGCAACACGTGACCCACAGGCATCACACATAACCAACTCACAGCACCACTCAATAGAACACATATCCCCACCCCGTGTGTAACCAATTGGCACCAAGTCATGTGATCATATCATGTGTAGCCTTCCTGTGGTATAACCATGTATACCATGCAGCTGCTTTTGCCACATTAACACACATAATCAAAACACTATACCACGCACCGTCAATCACTGCAGTAGGTTACCAATACCATGCATGCAACCAGTACCTTATAGAGTAACCACTATTACTCAGGTAACCACCTGATGTCCTCGTACCTAGACATCCCACGTGTCATCAATACATACCCACAACCATTTGTTGTGATCAGAACCAACACAAGGGACATGGAACCCAAACATCAGCCACAGTCAGTGTTCTCGTTGAGAATGAGTCCTACTGACCTTCCCTCACAGCTTTGAGCACAACCCTGGGCTGACGGCAAGATGTCCTTTTACAGGCCCTCGGGCAAGGATGTCTCAGGACACACATGTAGTGAGCCCTGCTGGTGTGCCAGGACCCCTACTTAGCAGAGTGGGAGGTTCAGAAATGAGGAAGAACAGCCTCAGAGAACACACGGTCTGACAGGCTTACGCTGCGCAAACCTCCTGACACCCGCCTAAGCACATACACACGATAGCAGGACCACACTGCTGGCTTCCTGTGACGTCCATCCCAGGCCAGGAGCATGGACCAGCAGTTTTCAGATTCCAGGCCTCTGCCCCAGAGCTCAGGGAAACCCCTCTCCCTGTCTGCCCCACGGAAAATGTCCCTCAGCCACAGACCATGCCGGCTGCCACAGAACTGATGGCGATGCAGCGTGGACCCTCTAACAATGCCACAGACACTGTACAACTCCAAGGGCAACCGCTGTCACACCCAAAGGCCGCTCACCTCAGGTTTTCCAAATGGGAGTGCTGCATACGGGGCGCGCCGAGGCCTAGATGCAAGGGGTGTGCCGTCAGCCCCACACGGCCCTGTAGCTCTGACCCCTCTCCCTCCATATCTCCTCAGCTCAGATCCCCGTCCCCAGCTTCAGCTTTAGGCTTATCTGAGGAGCTGGAGGCTGAGGGACAGGAATCAAGTTTCCCAGTAGAGGGCTCTTGACTAACTAGAGCCACCTTATCAAAGCTCTAGCAGGTTAGAGACAAAGGGTGCCAGGGGAAAGAGACAGAGGTCCTTTGTGGCCATGTCATTCTTGGTCTCATTCTAGTAGGAAAGTGCCACCCACCCTTTCAGTAAAGTGCTGGAGTTACTGCAGAGCGGCCCACTTGGTCACTCTCTGGCCCACCTCACCCCAGGGGCCCGAATGGCTCTGTGAGGTCCCAGCCTCCCCAGCCTGGCAGATATAACAAAGGACACATGTGGCAAAGGTAGGCAGCTCTGATGGATCCAGGAGCTGAGACCTGAGTTGTAGACCCAGCTCTGCCACTGACTCCTTGTGTAACCAAAGCAGGACCCACAAGCAGGGCTCAGGTCCGCATCTGTGAAATGAGGATGACCGTCCGTGCCTCACAGGGCTGTGAGAAAGCAGGAGGCGGAAAGATTGCACCGGAAGGGCACCCGACCCTGGAGCTTTCCCTTGGTGGTCTAAAAAGGAGACACACTCAGCACAGGTCAAGTGGCAGAGGTGACAGTAATATTGCAGGCAGCCTCAGCGCCTCTGTGCGGGGGGCAGGTGAACCACTGCAGGGCCTACCCCGTCAGGAGCGGCTTGGCTCAGGCCAGTTCTTGGCCCATGAGAGGGCCTTCCCCCGCCCTCCTTTGCCCCAAGGCCTGGGAACCCCACAGCTTCAGCGGGGGTGTGTTTTGCTCCTGCTGGCATCAGCCACACCGTGGTGGCCTGTCATGGAACACCTAGCTCGCCCTTTCCCTCAACGACCTAGGACCCAGGTGGGTCAGGATCACCAGAGCTGGGCAGAGTGAAGGCTGGGCAGGGGCACCACGGGGGCACTAGGTATTAACTGGCTCTCCTCTCCAAACAGCTCAGTAACAAGTCCCTTGACAGAGACACAGCAGGCTGGACCCCTTACAGCTATGTGAACGTGTTAGGTCAGTAGTGGTGTGAGCGTGGTCCCCGCAATCACGTCCCACTCTGTTCTCCGCATTGAGAGGGCCATGTCACAGCTGTCATAGAGAGGGTTAGGAGATGAATCCTGAGCATGGTTTCCCCCAGGGAGAAGGGGTGTGGGGAGGAAACCCAAGTGTGTGTTTCAGATTCGTAAGCAAAGGAAGCCCATGGCCCTCTTCATTCCCTTGTTATGGGCTAGGGAGAGGGTGGCTGTGACTCGGGGCCAAGGGAGACAACCAGCACCCGGGGTATGGGAATTCCAGAGGAAGGCAAAAAGATGCACTCAACATCTAGAAAAGGAACCCCCGTCTGACCTAGGCCCTACTTGTGTACCCCTCACAGGGGTTTCTTCCCACTGCTCTGGCGGGCACCAGTGCCTGTAACGGGCAGGGGTGGGGGGTTGGGCGTAGGTGGTGTGGGGAAGCAAGGCCAATGGCTTCAGCTCCCGTAAATCCCCATGGCCCTGCTGGCCCCAGCCCCCTTGGATGCTACCTGTAGGGGCCCTAGTTCCTTTCAGTCTGCCCTACCCAGACCCTCTCACCCGCATCCCCTCCCCTGCCATACCAGGGCGCTGGGAATAATGGCTCCTCCCTGTCATTCCTCTCACTAGACTCCCATTTCCAGATCAGTGCCCTGGAAGCCAGGTACCCGCCCGAGGACTTCTACATTGAACTTAGACACCTCAGCCGCCCCGCTGAGCCACACTCACCAGGTTAGACCCCCAGCCCTACCCTCTATCCCCTGGGCCCCCAAGGCTCTCATACCAGTCCAGACCCAGCACCTGCCCTCCCTCCCATTCCTGCCCCTTGCTTAACTCACCCCTGCTGGTCCCAGAACTCTCCCTACTGAACGCCCCCTCCCTCCCAACATGATTAGTCTACAATCCTAATCCCTTATGGGATGAAGCCTGTCTGGCTCCCATCACCCCTTCTCCTCCCATTGTGGTCGGCAGATGTGGACAAACCATGACTGGTACTAGGTAAAGGGGTCACAACATAACTGTATTCCCTATAGTCCACAGAATACAACCCAAAACCACTGAGAAATAGCCAAAGGATGGCAACACCTTTGGGTTTCTTCGGGCCCCCTGGTGTGGACGGCAAACAGTTGGCCTCTGGCCCAAAAGCCCATGTCCCCCATCCCCACCAGTGGCCTAAACTAAGCTTTCCCAGGTCCTAGGGTAGGGCTGTCAAGTGGGGACCTGCAGAAGTTGGGACCAGATGTCAGCCCTCATCCTCTGTGCTCGGGTATTAGGTTCAAACTCAAGGGCCTGGACAAAATGCAAGAAGTCAGTCCAGCATTGGGAGATAGTGGGTAGAAGTTATCAGGCGGTATCACAGGAGTGTTACAAATGAACAGAGACTGTAGCCTCCTACAAGTGGCCCTTCTAGGGCAGGACCTTAGCACACTGGACAACCTAGGCCTGAGCTCAGGCTCTAGCTGGTTTCTAGAACTCCAGGGAAATAGCCCTAGAAATACTGCAGGTCTCTGGGTCCAGTAGTACTAAGAGTGAAGACTGTAAATTCATCTGGTTAAGCTGGCATGGGCTGCGAAGACCCTGGGCCTGTACCCAGGAGGCTGTGGGGCCCCCAGGTAGCGTCCAGGGCATTCAAGAAGCTCTCCAAGTACAACCCCCCGCCCCACACACATTCTCTGTCTCTCTCCCCCTTCCCCCCTCCCCCCCTGACCCTGTATCTCTTTCCACACTGGAGCATCCTCCGAGCTCAGCCTGGATTTCTCCCTGCTCTGAGATCTCCCTCTTCAACCAGTGTAGCCAGAGCAACCACACATCTACTGGCTTACACTCAAGCAGGCTGGTGGCCAATGCGAAGGAATACTTGGGGAGATCTAGCTGCAACTCCTCGCTAGAGTGGTCTCAGACGAGTCACTGCTCATCTCTGGGCCTCTCATTTCCTGTTATATGAAAAGGGGACAAGTTAACAGCCTAGCCTCTGTCCCTCAGTGAGGACAAAGGAAGCCCTTGTCTTATATAAAGTGTCGAACTAATGCGAGGGATATAGGCTGCTGCAGTAGTGTTTCTGGAGGGCACAGGTATCTATAAGCCATTAGAAGAGCAAACTTGAGAAAAATCTGAGACCTGGTTCTGCCGTATCCCTCACTCGAAGGCAGGCTGACAGGAGTAGATAGATGCCTATAAATTCAACTCAGGACCTCTGTGTGGAGGAGGTATGGGGAGATAGCCAAATAGCCATAGGTTGGTTTTCAGTATCAGAAACTTACGAGCTGTATGATTGCCTGGTATTGTGTTCTTGGTTAAAAGATGGAAGGAAAAAAAAAATGGCTTTGACTCTGAGCCAACATCATTATTGCCCCAAACTAAAAATGCCAGACAATTTCTTTTCTAGGACCAATAGCAGCAAATAACCTGAGCCTGGTCCCTGAAGCTGTATGTCCTGCCTATGGCGGGAGCTCAGGACAATTCACTGTGGGAGTCTAGGATAAACTGTGACAGCTAAAAGGGAAAAAAGAAATCCATGGGATTGAAAAACACTGGTAATACTTTTCAAAGACAGCTCTCAACTAGGTATAAATGATCCACCCCAAAGAATGAACTAAGAAAGCTGACTGTGGGTGGGGATGACTGTACGTGCTGTAATGATGATTAATCAAGAACCGCTGCCACCTGGCCACCTCCCTCTCTGGGCGCCCCCGCCCCCCGCCCCGTCAAGTTTCTGATCCAGGAGAGGAGAGGCAGGACCAGCGCTGAGAGGTAAGAAAGAGTCTTCAACCTCATCCTAAAATCCAGCAGAACTAGCATTTGGAATGTCACGCACATGTCCCAAGCTAAGAAATGGTTCTGATTCATTCCTTACCATGCACTTTCGGAGCCTGGAACTCCACCTATAGTGACTGCAGGTGGCATCAGAACTGCCTTTGATCACCTCCTGGAAAACATTCCCCTTAAGAGTGAAGGTTAAAGAGAAGGAATGCCGAAAATGCCAGGGGGCGCTGTGGCTCACCGTAAATGCTCAGGAGCCTTTTAAGAATTTCCTATATGGTCAAAAAGGTTTAGAATAGAGTAAACCCAGAATAATTTTCTTGCACTAAAGAACCATTTGTTTTCTGGGTAGGAGAGAAGGAGGAAAAGGCAAAAAAAAAAAAAAAAATGTGAAGCCAACGCATACAGTCCAAGTAAACCTCACTCACCCCCATACTTTTTTTTCCTTATACTCTTTCTGCAGGTGCTTGTGGAATGGATAGACGTCAAAACACATACATTATGGACAAAGGCTTCAAAGGTAGAGTATCCATTCCTGATGTCCCATTAGAAAGGGCTTAGTAAGATAGCGTACAGATCTGAAAAGGCCAGAAATTCTACCAGAGAGAAACTGCACCTCTTCCCCCCAAACCCCTCAAACGTTCAAAGACTACAGGACCTGGGACTGCTGGGTAGCTCTGCCCAGGAGGGGCAACCGTAATAATGATTTCATCTTTCGATTTCAGTTGCACCTGCTTAGCAAACGCTGTGGGTTTTTTGTAGATGCCAACTAAATGTCTTCAGAAATGTAGAACGTCATTATCCAGCCAATTAGTGCAAGTTAAATTGATTACAAAATCTGAAATAAAGTCAATCTACCTGCCCCAGAGGCCTCCTGTCATTTCACTGCTAAGGAACGCCACCCTGCACCTGCTGGCTTTCTGGGGCACAAGGAATGAAAATGATACCCTAATACTGTATGGTTCTCCACCCTCAAGAGATCTCTGCCCCCAAGAGCAGGGACGCCAGGACTTGCCCCAACCCATGGAAACTCTAAGTCAGATCATCCTTCTAGAAAGTCTACGGGTAAAGCCAAGATGAAAGGTCAGGTCCTACCCCTGGGCTCAGGCCCGAGGTCTAAATGACAGAACGTTTGAAATAGGCAGCTTTGGAACTGTGACACTCATTACTCTGTCACTTATTAACTGAGACCTTAGACTGTGAGCTCTCCAAGGCCTAGTTTTCTCATCTGCAAGTTTGGGATAATTATACCTGTCCTATTATTGAACAAGGCTGTCATGAGTATTCAATAAAAAGCATGGATAGGAAGTGCTTTTGCATATTGTAAAGGATTATACTAATGTAAATGGGCTGTCCTTTTGTCACTGAGGTCTATTTAAGACTCAACCCAAATGAGTAACAGATGACTGACAGCAGAGGTCCCAGTGGAAATCCTAACTCGAGCTGTGTGCCAGGATCACCTGGAAAGCTTGCTAAAACTTCCAGTGTTCACATCCCATCGCACCAAGATTCTCATGTAGTGTGGATCTAGAGTGGGGTCCTAGAATCTGCATTTGCACAGACTATCTCAGGGTATCCTTATATAGCTTATCACCCAACTAACATTTAGTCAACACTGGTTTAGACTGACCCAAATTTCCCAGATTACTGTTCTGGTCTTCCAGACTCAACCTTAGACACAGACACAGCCATTTGCTAACCAAGGAGAATTAGTCATCTATAGCCTTCGCGGGGTGACTGTTAGAAGTGGGGTAAGCTAGCGGTGGGTGGTGGTGGTGAGAATTGTGTTCTGAGCAAAAGAACAGGAAGGGCAAGCCTAATGCACGCTAGGATGCACGCTGCTCAAGAGAATGATCCGAGAACAGGAGGTCAACCCCTAGGCTCCCGGCCAGCGAAAGGACACGATTCCCTTGGGAGCACCATGCTGGCAATTTTCTGTGAGCTTTGACTTAAACATCCCAATGAGGGCAAGCACCATTACAGCAAGCAAGGCGTAATACAGGAAAGACAGCTCCGCTGCTTTAGCCTTGTGACCTGGGCCCTCAGTTTCTTTCTCAAAGAGGCATAAGGGTTGGGCAGAAATATTGTGAAGGGCCTTTCCAGCTCTGAGACTACGCATGACTCAGTTGTGAATGAGCTCCAACAGGCCCAGGTCCCTCAATAAATGAGCACACAACTTTCCTGTGCATTTCATTGTCTTGTGCATTGTGATTAGAGTAGCTCCTTTCAGACATGCAACCAAATGTAAAAACAAAAACAGAGTATGGTCTCTGCCTCAGCATCACTCATTCCTGTTGTGTGGGGTCATACACTCGTGAGCCTCTGAGTGCAGATTTTGTTCCACTACTCTGGCTACAGTCATCCTTCAGAGAGAAAAGAGGGCTGTGTAGGCAAATGTACCAGAGGTTACTGGGGACTGACACATCTGAACAAGAGAACTCAAAAAGAGGAAAATGGAATGTCACAATTCAAAACTTTACAGAAGTACTTATCAAAGACATGGAATAAAGCCACAATAACTGGCTGAACTCCCAAATAAACACTTAATAAACTAGTTTGTACCAGGAATGAAATTATTTCCTAAACCTACTAGCCAAACCGTTAAGAGTGCAGAGTCTTAAACGTTCTCTAAACTCAATGGGAAAGAGCCCTGGTCTGGAAGTTGAGACCTGGCAGTCCGAGTTCCTGCCGCGCTGTGTCGTGCTGGCGTGGTCACAGCGTTGCTTTCTGGGTCTAGGTTCATCCCTCTACTAGGAGGACAGGGTTGTGCAAACACCATCTCTGGATAAGAGATGACTAACAGCAGAACTTTCCAGTTTGACATCTTGAAAGTCATTAATTCAGTCAATACTCCCTCTCCCCTGTGACTGTTTACTGAAGACCTCCGCTCACTGTCATTCTGGAGGTCCTGTGAGACCACACACTGCTGTGCTAATCTCATTTCACCTTTGAAACACCTTTCATTTTCCCTTGCGCCTCTCACCCTCAGCACAATGATTCTGCAACAAACAACAAACTACCTCATGTTCAACTCCCTGTCTGTAGGGCGTTTCAAACTGCTGAAGATGCAATCTTCCCTAAGACTCTCACCTTTATGATCCTGAAATCCTGAATTCCACCATTGCTGCCACTTTCCCTACCTTATGCCCCTTGGTAATTTAACCAAGTCTCTTCTCGTACTTGGCTTGGGTTCCAAGACAGTTAGGAGCCCACTGACATTGAAAATCTTTTTTCAGATAATGTGGTTGTCCTTCTGAGATCATCCCTTTCCTCTCCCCATATCCTTGTTTTTCAGTCCAGAGAAAGATGCTAACTTAGGCCCAGGAAGAGAAAAGGTAGTGTGGCCTTCTGATAATAGCAGTCAGTGAAGATGGAATTGCAGTGCCTGGGTTTTTCCCAGCAGTATAGGATTGGTTTTAACTAGATAGTTTAACACAAAGCCCTGGTAAACTCAGATCCCACTCACAAGGTGGCCTTGGAAAGTCACTCCCCGCTCTGCATTTGCTGCTTCCTTTCATCAAATGAAGATGTTTACATTAGCTCATTTCAGAGGCCCCTTCTGCCTCCCATAGTACGCAGCTGCCTGTGATTTTTGGGAGGTAGGAACTAGATGAGAGCAAATACCAGGGCGTCGTAGGACTAAGCCTTTAGTACTGCTGCTAATTGCTAATTATAGGCCTTGGAGGAGTGACTCCCCAGACCTTGGGTAGCACGGGCTGGTGCTTCCTCTTTCTTTTGTATAATGCCCTCAAGTGGGGGGGGGGCGCGGGGCGGATAGGGTGGAGCTCTAAAAGGATGAGGAAGTACTTTAGAGCAGCTGGCTATTCTTCCCCTTATCCTGCCTGCCCACTGGGCAGGCAGGTAGGTAGATAAATCAGCTGGAGAAAAAAAGTAGCTTCCAGAAGTAGTTTCCTAGCTTGCCTAGCCTTCTAACATCCAGTTCCCAAATAGGAATCCAGATTATTATTCTGTAACTCAACACACTCCCCTACACATACACACACATTCCTCCATCCTTTGTCTTTACAGCTGGCCCCTTTATGGAAAATACAGCTACTCCCTGACACTAATCCCCTCCCCTACAACCCCAACTTCTTTTATCCATTTAGGTGCATCCCCTGCTGCGGAGCAAACAATTTATTCCCCCAAATTTGGAAGCAGCCCTGACTTTTCTGGTGGAAAGGAAAAGAAGGGCACTATTGCCTGCCTGAGGCTTTTGGGCATTGAGCCAGAGCTCCAAGGCTCTCCCACTGCCATAGCTGAATCAGTCATGGGATACCCACAAAAAGGCTTAGAGCTTGGCCGTGGGGCTTGGCCTCACAGATAAAAGGTGTCCTGTTGAAGGTAAGGTGAAGCTGTTACAGATATACTTTGCATTCAGAGATACCAGAGGAGCACTGAGGAGCACAAGGAAACTGATGGGAAGGGAAAAGCACCTTGACTGGTTATCAGAGAAAACAGGGCTGAGTCCTACCTACGTACTAATATTAAGCAAACTTTGAGTTTCAGTTTCCTCATTTCTCAAGTAGTAATATTAGTCCTTCCTGCCCAGCCTCCTTCACAGATGTAACAAGTTTCAAATGACTAACCTGAAATACTAGTTTTAAGTGCCACACAAATACAGCTATTCCTTAAGTTCTAGAAAATATACAACTGAAGCAGCTGCCAATCAAAGTAAAAGGATGTATCTGGGAGGGGAAAAGTGTTATTAGGACTTTTCTCAGGGGATAGCCCCTCTTCAAACAATTCCAGTCCTCAGCTTGCAAACAAGCCACTGAGTCACATTGCCTTAACTCCCTGGCTGGTAAGTTCACAACACCCAAAGTGGAACCAATGAGCCATGCTACCAGGGTTCCTGGACTTTGCCCCACTCCCTTGTTCAAAGAAACAAAGTACTCAGGAGAGGCAATATATGTGGCCCAGGACCTGCAGCCACCTTTCCCCACTGAGCCTCCCCAGCAGCTGGGCCAGTCCAGCCTCCCTTTAGACCTTGCTGGGACCGCTCATTCACTGTCTAGCAAGAATGTTTTCTCCTCCTTCTGTCTAGGGCTATATGCTAGAAAGAGGCCATAATCTAAGATGAAACCAAGCTAATATTTCTCTCTACTGTGGGTAAGCTGTGATGAAAAAGTCCTCTGAGCCTGGTTCTAAAGCTTGCTTTGCTACTGATTTGCAGTATGGCTGGGGAAGTCACCTCCCCATGCTAAGCCTCAATTTCCTCATAAGGGGGGGGGGGGAGATAATATTATTGCTCTACCTACACCACAGGGTGCTATGAACACTTGAAGGAACCAATGGGTCAATTTACTTTTGCACAAGATTGAGGAAATGTCACCTGCTGAAACAGACATCAGTAACTCTACACCAACAGAAAAGTGAATCCCCTCCTAACCACCTGTTAGGGGGAAAAAAATGATTTGTTAACACACACACACACACCCCTCAACTCCTTGCCATGTGGAGTGTTCTGTTCTGTTCTCACTGGACCAAGATACATCTATCTAGTCATCCTTTGAGTTACATTTTCATGTTTACTTTTTCACATTTCAATTTCACAAGTTGGGGGCTGAAAGCATAAATAGCAGCACAAATGTAACTTGTGGTAGTTCTGGAGAAAGATCCAAGAATAGCACCATCTGCTACCACTTGTTGAAACTTAAGAGCTGAAAGGCCACGTGATCACTCTCCACTATCAAGCCCCTCTGTCCCGCCACCGCCCTGGCTGGCAGAGCCCCAGGCAGATGAGGACCACCGTTGCCAGAGGACAGAGAGTAAGAGTAATAAAGTCCTGACTCACTTGGGACAATCTGCAAGAGGCAGCAGAGGTTGAAGGAAGGGCTCCCCTTTCCTAAGAAAACTTTCTTCCTCTAACAGAGCTAGTTACCTGGTTTCCTGTTTGGAAACTAGTTTGCATCTCTTCACCCTAACATACCCAGAAGTCTTAGGGATGATGCATGCCTGAGAGGTGGCAAGGGAGGAAGCACTAGTTCTACTAGTAACAGAAAGTTACTACTAAAATAACTTAACTTTCAGCACTCCCAAGAACTGAAGTAAATGACCCCAGAGGATACATTCATTGCAGACTTGTGAGAAAACAGGAACTTTCCAAAGGCTAACTTGAGACCCAGGCGCTTTTGACACCTCTCTCTTACACTTCTGTCTGCCCCACCTCTGACCACCAGCTTCTCAGAGAGCAGAGGGCAGCCAGTTTGCTGATGAAAGGACGCCGAACTGCTGACACCTGTGCCAGAACACACACACAATACACACTCTCCTCCTTCTAAAGCGAAGCTGCTTAATTATCAGAAAACATTCAGAAGAATGGTATTACAGGAAATGCACAGGCCAAGGAGTCCCGAGGCACAGATTCAAGTCTTGGCACTGCCACTTATGAACTGTGTGACCTTAGCCCATGTCACTGCATCTCTCTGGGCCTTCATCCTATACAATGCAAACTATCAACCAGCCTTGCAAAAGTCTGTAAAAAATATAATAAAAAATGTAAAAGTACATTACGAATATCTTGAGTTCATATCTTTCTGGTGCTATACCTGAGTACTAAAAACAAAAATCTTCCTGTCCCTCCAAAAACGTAAGTTTTTATTAGAAAAAGAATTCTGCCTACCTAGGAAAACACTCAACATATTTACTAAGTAAATCCTGGACTACTGCAGGCTTTTACAGGTCCAGGATCCCAAAAGTACATTAACTTGACTGCAGTCTGTCACTGGTATTTAAGTTAAGTTGTATGTCCTTGCCTGTCCTAAGAAATCTCTCTTGCCTTGCAGATTACATGAAAGAATCTGTGTGCAGTTCTAGCACTTGTTCCTTGAATAGCAGTGAAAACCCTTACGCCACAATTAAGGACCCACCCATCCTCACCTGCAAGCTTCCAGAAAACAGCTATGTAGAAATGAAGTCGCCTGTGCACAGGGGGTCTCCGTACACAGATGTGCCATCCTTGTCGACATCTAATAAAAATATATATGAAGTTGGTAGGTGTCTCAAATAAGTACCTTAGTGAAATCAGGGCAATAGTGCAGCATCTGAAGTAAAAAACAATCCCTCTCCACTCACCCTGTCTTGAAAACACGCCTTTTCTTTTGCTGCTTTCTAAGGAATCCAAGGTGCACTGCCCTACCCAGGACTGGCCTCCTCCCTCTCTTATGTAGGAAATCAAATTCTTGTGCCAACTCTGCTTTAAAAAAGAAAAAAGAAAAAAGGCAAACACCAGGACTGGTATGAAGCAGAAATACCGGGGGTAGGGAGTAGCACGCGTGCGCGCACACACACACAACTGGTTGACACAAATCCCAGTTGAAAAAAGAAACCAATCAGAACATTTATTAACTTTCTAGATCACCACATTCTACTTTCTCCCAGTTTAACCCATGTCCCTAAGCTTATTTGTAAGATCCCCTACTTCTGGGGTATTCTAAATCTCTTGGTTATGACCAGAGCCTGGGCTTCTGACAGCATGCTCACTGATGTTTTCCATCTCTTGAGCAAGCCGCAGCCCTAACCCTCATATTTATTACAGGTTTATAAATCCCTGGCTTCTCCCCTCACCCAGTTAAATAGAACTCTTCCCCCAAGAAAGCAAACAAAGCTAATCTGTTCTCTGAACTCATTTTTCACTATATTCCTTAGAGCCCACAGTCACTGTGGTCCAAGAAGGCCGAGGTCCTAACTCCAGCTATATCCAGAATCCATACGACCTACCTAGGAACAGCCACATTCCTGGTCATTATGACCTCCTCCCAGTAAGACAGAGCCCCGCCAATGAGCCCTCCCAGGACAAGCAGTCTTAAGAGGGATAAACTTCTCTCTTGCAATGTGCTCTGCTGAACATTCTCTGACTCTCTGAAAGAAGACAATCCCTTGACTTGAAATAATGGTACAGACTGACTCCAGCTGCGTGTTAGTTATTACTTTCACCTGAAACTAAAGAAGAGCTTCCAAGTGGGACTGGGGTAATTGTTCAAAAGGTCTGTTCACAAAGGCAAATCCTATCACCCACACAACCCCAACCCCAAATGCCCTGGATTATATTATTTTAAAACACTTAGAATGCAGCTACTCATCAACATCAGCTAAATATAGCTAAATATATTTATTTATATATTTAATTATCTGAAACATGATGCTTAAAAAGCATGTAGAATAGGTTTTACAAACCTTCCTAGGGGGAAAAGGTGGGTGGGGAGGAGAGACGATTAATTTAAAATACCTGAAATGTATATGTACTTCTGGTTGCTGTTACCATCAACACATGTTTGATTACCTAATTAGTACATAGACACAAACGGTGTTAATATCAATCCTAAATTACCTGTACATATATATCTGATCCACCAAGTTACAATGGCCAAGATTACAAAGTTTATTATGTAGTCTAATGCTAACAATTTCAATTTTCAAAAATAAGACTTAAATAAATAGAAATTAATTTTCCCTCTGCTGCCCCTGCTGGTGGTAGAAGAAAAAAAAAAGTTTTCAAAGCCTCTTTCAGTCTATGATAGTATTTCTAGATTGTCTTTTTACCAAATCTTGCCAATTCAGTGTTCCAGAACATTGCAAGTCACCCTTGGCCTTGTCATCCACCCAACACTCAACCCAGTCCATGGGAAATAAAAGTCTGAGATGATGCTTTAAGCAAGCAGTCACAGCTGACAAGAATTAAGTACCCCTAAAAATGGCTATGTGGCCTCTCAAACGTGTTTGGTTGGCATTCCTTGACTAACTCCGAAGAGTCCGTGCTTTCAAGCATTTCTTCATAAATCTTGAGCTTGATGTAACATAAAACCTAAAAGTGTAGAGGAAATTAGACAAAATAGAGGATATATCAATTTTAAATTGCTTAAAGTAAACTATCCCTTTTGATGGAACTAAATTGCAATGATCAAAGAAAGAATGGACTGTCCTCAGTTGCTTCAACATGATGTAAAAACTTTATAGTAAACAGCATGTAAGGATATGAAGTACCTCTGCCTTCTACCTTAAACCCAACACCTGCTGAGATGGCCAAAACTGAATTACAACGAGCTCCAGATCCCAGTATTCAGATGTGTCCATACCTCCCAGTATTAATGTACACAGGTAATGTACACTGGGGCGCAGGTGAGTCGAAATGGAGCCAACTCCCAAGCCCTAAAGAAGACCTTCTCATAAGAATTAAAGACCGAAAGGGCAAAGTGAGAAAACTAATGGCCATCCCTCTACCACTGTATTCTCTGATAACAGTTCAGCTGTAAAAATACTTCCAAAAGGTATACAGAAGAGGAACTACATGACTGCAAAGCTGGAATAGCTGCCACAGGAAGTGTGGGAGTTCTGAAACCCTTGATACAAATTGGAAGTCTGCCATGGAACCCATTAGTTTGGGCAATAACCAGCAAAAGCAAGAAAAATGCGAGTAAACACCCCCTCCCCGACTTCACTCAAGGCTTAAGCAAATGTTGTAAGGGGAAAATATCGACTACTTAACACGAATGCTGCATGTGTGCATGGGAGCAAGCGATCAGCAATAGCAAATTTACTTTCCGAAAAAGCCTTATTAAATATAAATACTAGAAAATTACTTTGTAGACCCAAGTAAATATTTCTCATACATATGTAGAAAGAAGTATAGATAAGAGACTTACCTCAGTATTTCAAGGCAGCAAGTGCTCAACTATCTTTGTGAAGCAAGGACCAAGAATCATGGTGAAGTCAGATCAGCAAGGAGAAACTTCATCTCACTCCCAGGTTTTCTCTTCTTCCCTTACCCTGCATGTACAGTAACTGCTGCCTGGCAAGCTGCAAACAAGCACCATCACTCAAGTTTCAAGCTTCACCTCTTTTTTGCCAACTATCTTCTGGGCAAATTTCAGCAATAGTGGAATTGCTAAAGCACTGGGTCATGATATTTGAATGTTATTTGCCCTCTCTGGGCTCTTTTCTACCCCTGCATATTAAAAAAAAGGGAGAAGCAAAGAGGGGTAAAGGGAACCCTAAAACCCTTCAGCTCTAGCATTCTGACTTTTAAAGAAATGTACCACAAATTAAATCAGGCAACACAGGAAGAGGGAAAGACAGAGGGTGTGATTCATCGATGGTGACAACAGTTGTCTTCACATTATCTAGGAGTACTGGTAAAAGACATTTCAATCTTACAGAGCAACTATTAGGAACTTCTGTCTAGCACTGTCACAAGTAAGTTCATGGTCAGCCTAAACATGTGCACTGTGCATTTTATTGACAACTTGGAAAAATCTGTTCAATTATTTTACGGAAACTAAGTTTTCACTCAGAGTGACCTGCATATAATTCAAGTGAATAAAGAAAACACAATTACTGTACAATAGCATAAGTGAGACTGTGAAATGGCAATACTTTTTTAAACCCAGATTTATATTTGTTCATCACTGTGCAGAGGGTTCATACCTTGTACAAAATAAAATTAATTTCTCAAACTAAGTGATAGGAATGCCTACTGTTGTGTTATGTTGCAAACCAAAAATGTGTCTATAGTCTACACCTTAGGTTTAAAGGTAGAACTAACCTACATTTTTTGTGGTCACTTTAGACAGTTGGGAAACTGAAAATTATCCCATCGATGCTTGAAAATAAAACGAAAACGTTCTATCAAATTTGTAACAAGAGAGTCTCTTCCTTTAAAGTAATGAATGGAAGCCACATATTCTTAATTAATGTCAAAAAGTTACTGAAATATCTCATAAACATCCATATGCTCAAAGAGAGAATTTCTCTGCTTTCACAAAGATCTGAACTCAAAAGCAACTATTATAGCTTGTGCTCAAGTCCAGAGGTACAAAGGTAGTTTTATGGAATGCAATAAAGGCAAGTATAAGGGCCACCTAATTTGCATAACAGCAATGAATAGCTTCCCATTAGTAGAAGTTATCGCCCAGTACAGTACTCTGGGGTGCATCTGTTTTAGGACCTTTTAAAACATAACCTTGTGGCCTAAGTAGTAAAGAAACAGCAGGATTAATTTTATTATAAAATACAGATCCTAAAAAATAGCTTACTAAATGCATTCAATAGTGTAAGTTTAAACTTTCTCCTTCAGATTTTCAAAGGTTTGTACATACTTGTCAAATTAAAATATTTCAACTTGTCAGTTCACAAGGCTTATGCAATACTCAAAAGTTACTCCCATTTAATAAAAATGTTTAATCAAGAACACAATTTTGCTAGTTAGAGATTGTAAGACTCATTCCGAAAAGACTCCTCCCGCCGCCAATAGAAAACTCTCAAGGGCTGGAGCTTGGCATCTTAGAGAAAGATAAAATATAATCGTGAGTTGTAAGGCTAAAAAGGGTATTTACTGAGAATAATAGTTTACGATTATGTCTTATGAGGCTCATACTACTACCCAACACCATAAACGATAAACAAAGGCTGCAGGTTGTGTATTCAATACAGAAGATTCAAGAGTGATACATTCTATATTAGCCATTCATCTAACCAGAGGGAAAACAGGCCCTTTTAATCAGTATGTGGCAAAAGAAGAGATGGAAAATCTTTCTTAGAAGGGATAGATGGATACATAGGGATTCATTATACTACTATTTATAACTTTGTATAATTATATAGTACTTGCATTATAACTTTCAATAAATTTTTTTAACCTGAATGATAATTATAGCTCCCCAAGCTAAACCCAAATGAACCCTACGAGGCGCCCCTTCACTCTTTTAGATGGTCCTTTCCTTATCACCTGATATGAGGTTGTGGGTTGGAGAGTAGGAATGTAAACAGAAAAAAAGTACATTCCCTGTCCTTTTGGATCTTACAATGCAGTAATTACAAAAGGGCAAGAATAAATGGAGGATCCAGATAGTTCATGGAGTGCCGACTATACATTTTCTTCCCTGACTTACAAAGCTAGACAGACTCTGAGCAGTGAAACCCACATAAGGTAGAAGCTCTGGTCTGTAGCTAGAGTTTTAAGATTCCCTCCTCAGTTTCTGCCTCCCAAGCTATTGTCTGGCCCAGCAGATGGTGGTCCTCTAGAGCCTTCTGTAAGAGAAAACATGGGGACCTGAGGTCTTACAAAGTACTATTCTTTACCCATCCACTTAAAGGTAAACCAAGATCAGTAACAGAGGATCCTAACATCCTCCTCTAGCATTGCTTTCATATCAAAGATAGCCTATAAGAAAGTGTTACTACCTGGGGCTTCCCAGACCATCCTGTTTCAGGCATGACCTTCTGTAATATATTCTGAGGCCCATATAATGAAATGTTTTGGCATAGAGGCTGTGCAATAGTCAGCAACTTCTTAAAGACAACATAAGGAACCATACCACTTCCCTAGAGAGATGTGAGAAGACAGTATGCTGAGAGACTGGAAGTTCTGAATAGGGGAATAGGTGCTAAGAGCAGTAAGTTACTCATTGGGTTGGGGATAATAAGATCTGAGATTTTGCATATGAGGCAGTGTTAAGTTCCACTAACTTAAACATAGGAAAGGAATCCTGTTGGCTACAAATTTTCCCTGCCATCACTGGTAACAGTAACAGAGTAGTTAACAGCCATTATATATGACATCTGTGCCAAGATCTGTCGATTCTGTGCTTAATAATGTTAAATAATTGAATTCAAATGGTTAAGACTACTAATAATTAGACTACCACACTCATAGCCAAATAATGTCATTAATATTATGTGTGCAACACATAAACCTATATTTTTGGATTTAACCATTGGTTCTACTGGATAGCTCAGCTCTGTGGACTGATCGACCTTCCTGAAGATTTCAATTAGAGACAATGAAAAAAATTAAACACAGTATGTTTTTAAAAGTTCTCCCCCAGGCATGAATATATTTTAAAGTATGTATTAAAATCCAGCAATTTTAATAGCAAAAGCAAAAAAAACCAGGCAGTTCTCAATGTACAGTTAATACCGCAGCCCGTCAAGTGCTTCTCCCCCCTTAGTGCATATGGTACTTTGATGCCTATTGTATTGTGATACTGACATTTTGCAACTGTTCTGAAAGCTTTCATACTCTTTAATGGAGTTAATATGGAAATAAAGATAACACTCTAATCAAGTTGTGATGATAAAACCAAAATAATCATGCAAAGCATACACTTGATTTTTTACTTAGCTATGGAATTTAAATTTGAGTTAGAATGAATAACAATTTGGCACTAGTACCTTTAGAGAAGTCATTCATAGAATTACTGAATTGGGGCTGGGATGCACCCCAGAAACGATGTAATCCTGTCCCCTCATTAACTGGTAGGTGAGGCTCAAAGATAAAATGACTAGAAGAGCTGTGACTAGAATCCCGCCTTTGTCACCCAGTCCAGTGCTCTATCATACCTGCCACTTTCTTTTAAATCACAGAGTTTGCATATTTTCTTAACTGTCTACCTAGTATCCTGTTCCTTTCAAATAGCCTTTATCTTCCTATTCAATTTTCAGGGAAATGAATACTTCAATTAAAATTACCTCTCAGACTAATGGTTCTCCCTTAACTTGAGTTGTAATGACAATATATTGCTTTACTGTTTCCATCAGTCTCCTGCAGTTTGGGGAAACACAACCATTCTTTAAAACTTAGAATGACAACTCCAATTTATCTGGCACATTGAATAGGCAGTGGAAAAGATGAGCCATCAAATCCCAGAAAAAGGTATGGCACCAGCAAAGCCCCAACCAGGAGGAGAACAGCCCTCTTGTCTTCAGCACCAGTGTGTTATGCTAACCCTTTAAATAATGTAGTGGGAGAGGATGCTTTCATGGTCTTTGTTCTTTTTTCCCCATACAGGGGGTGGATATCATGCACAGTCCTTATACAAAACTGATACTTCGTTTTGAAAATTTTTTCGAGGCTTATGATGTTTGTGACACATCAAACCAATCTCCATTTTCTCCTCTTTTAAAAAAGAGCTCTGTAAATTGAAACCTAACAGGTTGGGAAATGTTTTCAATTATCCACCCAGTCCTTGAATTATTCTGTTTCTGGTATTGGCCAAATTGTCTTAGTTAGTATCTTTGTCTCTTTAAGGTGGATGAAGAGACTATCACAGTAGCTCAAACCACGGAGAGGATTGTATTTTGCAAATATAAGTCAATAAAGACAAAAATTAAGATGTTAATTTCCCCAGCGGTAAAATAAATACGACTAGCTTTATAGACAGTCCAAACCCTTGAGAAGTGCACCTTTTCTGCAGAACCCTTCAGAACGTAAAACACCTCTGGATTAAGTCCCAGGCTAGAACTCCTTATAATTTAGCATTCCCAGTGCAATGGCTAAATTAGGAAACTTACAACTACAGAGCAGTAACTACCACTAGAGAGATACCATAGATAGCACTTGAGAACATCTACATGTAAGTTTACCAAGTCAAGACGGCTAAATGACTTTTCAGGAGAATATAACAGATACATTTTTTTAAAAATCAAAGTTAACTGAAAAGCAGGGTCAAACAGCAAAATACTTCTACTAAACTGCCTTGAGCCATAAATTGTCATATTTTTAAATTTAATGTTTCTTACTTGAGATAGTTTGTCTCCTGAGATATTATTCAGAATGAAGACAGTTGTTGAAATGTAATCAAAGCCATTTTCTACTACTTCCAGTTTCTTGGACTGCTCCTAACATCCAGCCACGCCCAAGGCAACATTAAGTCTATACTTGATAAAAATTCAGTTACCAGTACTTTATCATTTTCAATTCACTATCATTTTCTCCTTCTTTTAAATAATTTTGTAAAAAACTTACTACCAGTTTTCAGTAAAATAAGTGGTGATGGAGCCTCCTCCTGGGTTTAGTGACACAGTTGTGTATGTATGAAAATACAGAGAGTAATTACTTCCCTTATATTTCTGGTAATACTTTTTCCAAGAAAAGCATAACTGAACTAAAATCAAAGCTGAATTCACACAACGGTTCCTCCAATTCAATGTTTACTCTGTAATGAAAGGACCTATATGTTCTCATTCATCAGAATCAAATATTCCATGGCTATATCCAAAGCAAAGGGAAAATGTAATCTGACAACATAAAGAACAGTCCCCCTATAACTGTTTATTAGAATGTGAATATATTCCAAATCAGTAACTAAAAAAAAAAAAAAAAAGTTACAGAGCATGCATAAAATACAAAGTAGTGATTTACAAATAGATAATAACCTTCATACCAGTACACTAAAATGTATAAGAAAACCAAAATGACTGACCACAGCAATGCCTTCAGTGCGCCCCACACATCATGAGCATCGCGAAAGACAAGAGATTAACTATGAAACATAGTAATCTATGCAATCCCATACACATATATATTTTGGGGATATTTCACCACCCTGAATAGTATCACTTCAGTTGACACAACTTTCAGAACACTGCAGAGTAAATGCTTAATATTACCCATATGAAAGTAAAACTAAATATTAGTGTGCACATTTCTGAATGAGAAACTAGTTGCTCCATTGATTTCAATAATGTAGTGGAAAGTCTGTATAATGGCCTAAATGCATACTATTTAAACTCAAAGTACTATTTCATCTTAAGTACTTAAAAAGAATACATGCCTTTAAGTGATACCACTTGAGCAGAAATTAACCTCTCACTGTATTCTTTTGACATACTAAAACCAGATATTTAACTGGACTATATTCCATAATATACTGCAAAACTCAAAATCAGCATTATTAAAATAATTATCCATGCCTGCTGGTGAATATGGTGATAAAACTAGGTTACATTTCAATTAATGGAAGGTTTTGAGACAAAATTAACATCTCACAATTTGATACTAAGAGTATTAAACCAGTTAATGCCTGAGCAATAAAATGCCACATAATCTACTGCTGAGAAATTAGATAAATTAAATGATATCATCAAACTTAGGCTGCCTGATCATTACAACAGAGGCACCTCAGGCGGAACTCCACTGTCTCTCCAGTCCCGGCCTGCCAGGCAGCATTAACCTATGACCCCATATCTGTGGCGCAACTGAAACCAAATGCAGTCTTTTGTGTTTATTAAGATAATTCTTGTCCAGAAAAAAAAAGTGCCCTCTCAAATGAACTGATGCTTATGAAAATTAAAAACAAAAATTACTGAACTACATAACCCTATTAAGGCATTTTAGAAAGTGACTTCCAGAATAATGGAAAATTTTCAAGGTGCTATGTTTACAGGGCAATTATTAGATTTGTGGAAATATATACTGCACTGAGAGAAGAGTGTATGAATTATAAGCTGCTCTGTGGCAAAAGGATAGCTTATTTCTAAAGTCTTCTTAATTTGATTTGATCAAGACAAACAGGTCTGAGCTTCAAGTGATCAAGTTCTATTATGTCCTACAGTGACAGGTTTCCATGATGAAAAGTAAACAATAATTGAGGAATCCAAACATTCAGTTTATTAAACTAAGGCTAGTGAAGCCATAGCATGAAATAAAGCTGCAGTCATTCGGGACAAATGGATGATTTTATAAAGCTAAAATCAAAAAACTTAAAACATGGAACATTCATTAAGTAGAAGGAAGTAATAAAACACAAAAGTGACCACAAGAATTACAAATATATTTAAATCTCAGACCTGGGAAATGGACTATACACAGCCTTCTAGGGGAGAAGAGAAACGCCTTATATGTTCTGACAGCACTGCACCTTTGGCTTATTTTCAGTGGTTGGTGGAACGTGAATAGGAACCACATTGTTGCTTGGAGACATGTCATTTTCACGTCTGTCTGACATTTGCTTCTGGGAAACAATGCGGTATATCTCTGAGTGAAAGGAAAAAAAAAAGGGAAATAGCAATACTCAGTGTTGAATAGACCCATCAATAGTTGACATAAAAGATACACGGAGGTAGAAGATACATTTGCAGGAAAAAGTGCAAATAAATTTAAAGTTTTATTTTCAAACAGCCAGTGATAAGAGTCAACCCATTATTTTAATTATTTCCCTTAGGTCAAGAAGAGAAACAGAGGTTTTCCATTTCAGAGGGACAGACTCACCAGTCAATAAGTCTTTGTTTAAAGAGATTTCATAGTTTATGGGCTTAGAGCTAAATTAAACCATGAGAGTATTTTCATTGTACCCTTACCAAAAAAACAAAAACAAAAACAAAAAATCCAACATACACCAACACTGTACCATTGAAAAATAAAAATAAATCTGTACCATCAGGCACTCTAAGGTATTTTTCTTGGCTGCAGAGAGAAAAGCCCAACTTCATAAACATGCCAAAGTCCCAAAGAACTCTTGGAAAAGGAGGGAACAATAATGTTTATCAGTGCTCCTGAACTAAAGTTAAATTGTAATTAATTATTCAAAACAGGCAACTTAAGATTTTATATGACTTATCAAAACTAGTTGTTTAGTGTCTACTCCTTCCACCAAATGTTAAACAAAACTCTGTCTACTTTATTCATTGCCATATATCTCTGGCATATAGCAGATAGTAGGGGTTTGATAAGTAATTAACTGCATGAATAAATGTTACTAAATTCTCTACAGCAAGTATCTCTAACACATTTTATTTGGCCCTATAGTGCATTGCCTAAAAGTAGTTCCCTCTGACTAGATTATGTATCTTATGAAAAATGGGGATAAATATTCTAAGTCTGTGCTGTCCAGTACAGTAGCCACCAATTTAAATTAACTAAATAAAATTTAAAATCCAGTTGCTCAGTTCACTAGCTACATTTCAAGTACTTAATAACCTGTTACCAATGACTACTCTATTTGATACCCTACATATAAAACAATTCCATCAATGCAACTCAACGAACCCTAGATTTCAAATGTTAAATCCAAATCTATAAAAGGACATTAGTACATGTGGAAAAAACTGAATGTGAAATGCACATTATATAATACAGTATAAACATAAGTTTCTTGGATATGGTATATGGTATTGTGATTATGTAGGAGAATGCCTTGTTCTTAGGAGAGAAAACGCTTAAGGATTTAGTAGTAAAGTACTACAATGTCTACAACTTATTTTCCAAAGACGGAGTGAAGGGGGAAGAAAAGTAGATATACACATGTAAAAATAAATTGAATGTGACAAGTTGATGATTCCAGATGAAGGGTATAGAGTGTTTACTTCAAATTTTAAAAAATACAAAGTTATAAGGTAAAATAGAGAAAATGAAATTAAGTTTTCAAAATGCTCCAAGAACATGTCAATCAACTGCAATATGAACATCATTTGGATTCTAATTTGAAGTGAAAAAAATTTAATTATTGTTTGAACAATAAATGACAATTAGAAATTACTGCTAATTTTTAAGTGGTTTTGTTGTTATGGGTTTAAGTCTTACTCTTTCAGATACACATCATGAAATGTTTACAAATGAAATGATGTAAATCCCTGGATTTGTTTCAAAATAATGGTGGAGGTATTAAGTGGAAGAAAGATTAGCCATGAGCTGATGGTTGACAGCTACGTGGGAGCTCATACTATTCTACGTTTATTATGTTGGAAACTTTCCATAATGAAAAGTTAAAAAAAAGCTCATTTAATACACTTTCTCCAAATTAAAAACTGATTTCCCTAAAGGTGAAGAGCAAGCTATACTACTAGTTAACTGAATATGTGAACTAATAAATACAGCTAGTGTGCCCTTTAATTTTTTTTTTTTTTGGAGGGGGGAGAAGTGGTGCTAAAATTTGTATTTGATAAGGTTGACAGCGGTTCAAAGCTTAAAAAGTATGAAGAGAAAAAAAGATTACAATAAAGAAAGACTACTGACTACAGTTTTAAAAAACAAGACCAAAAAATGGTATGGAGTCTTTGTTTAGATTATTTTCATTGAAAAGAGGTGGGACTGGAGTGTGACAAGGGCAGAGAAAGACAGTCATTCAATCAGGCTAGTGGCTGAGGCATAAACACAATCATCAACTTACTGTAAAACTATACCATTCATTCTTTATTCTTTGTTTTCTAATTCCAAACTGGATTCAAACTCTTCCTTATCAAGTGCAAATGGCTAAATGTTACCCTCTATAAATGTCAACTTCTCCACAAGTTGTATTAAACATTAAGTTAGGGGAACCGAAAAAAAAATTTTTTTTTACAGGTTCTTACATGAAAAGTAAATACTACAAGGGAGGAAAAGGAAGAATTCTCTGAGAACATAGAAAGTTAAATAATTAAAGATATCTCTTTACAAAGCAAGAAATTTGAGCAGTGTTGTATAACTGCCTACAAGTATTGCAAACTGTTTTGTAGAAATGGATTACTCCTACATTTGCTGCAGTCACCAAAAAGACATCTGCTAATAGAAATAATAAAAAAGGCAAAAAATAAATAGGTAAGTATTGGTCAGACAATTAGGAAAAAAATTTTCTTTCAGGTACAATGGGCACTAAGAGGCTACACAACTAATTCACTTAATGTCTCTTGTGGCTAGATATGTCACTAAAAAAAAAAAAGGAAACTTTGATAAGAAAATAGGATGCAGGTATTAGAAAAGGTTATTTAAGTGGCGGTGGGGGGAGGGAACAGGACTAGTAACTTGCTAAAACCAGATGCAAATAGTTTCGTTTTTCAAGGGCATGTTCTCCTTTAGAACTAAATGTATATGATATGCCAATTCCTGTGCAATCCCTTTTTAAGACGTCCAAAGAATAGGTATGGTTAGAAAGAAAAGGAATACTACTTTCTCTCTTTTTCATAAGAATGTCTTATAGCTCTAAATATGAAGTAAAACATTAATATAAGATAGCTTTAAATATAACCAGGTAAAAAATTAAAAAAGACATATACCTATTTCTACTTTAATGGGAGTATGGATCAAGTTGCAAAGTAAATTCTACAGAAATTAAATGTCACTCTTCCAAATTGGGAGACAAGAAGAGCTAAAATTTTTCAGTTCCTCCAAAAATTGTGATAATAGCAGAGGCTTGAGTTATTCCACTTCTATAGCCTAGGTCAGTAACTTTTAGGTCTTCTTCAAACCCATTGCTCACCATGGAAGTTTCTCAAAGATCAAAAAATGTTCCAATTCGATATACTGACAAGTATTTAGAAGTTGCCACGTGCCAGGAACAAAGCTACTACACCTAATTAAGAGATTCTGCCGGGATATAGTCAAAAACCCCAGTGGATGCCTAAGACTGCATTTAGGGGTTGCTTGAACACAAGCACTGCTATACAGTCATCTCATAACCAAGAGTGACGAACAGGCAGGCCAGTGTATACAGCAGGAAATGCAGGAAAAAGGGACGACTGACATCCAGGGCAGGATGGAGTGGACAGGGCACAAGAGTTCATCACACTACTCAACATGGCGAACAATTTAAACTTTATGAATTGTTTACTTCTGGAATTTAAAATTTTGGGACTACAGTTTACTCTGGCCAACCAAAACTGAGGAAAGTAAAACTGCAGATAAGGGGAGACCAGTGTAATTCCTGAAAACTCTCACTCCACTTTTAATATGCTAAGCTAATCAAAATTTTTTCAACCACAAAACAATTTAGTCTTCATACTAAAAAGATGGCTGGGACTTATTAATTACGTGGAGAAACCTGGCAGATAGCACCTTAACCAAAGTACCAAAGTTAACATCACCAGTAATGAATAAAACAAACCACTATCACAAGCCTCCTGATATGAGCACACTTTTGTGATGTTCCTGCTGAAAATACATAACCTCAATGTAATTATGAGCAAACAGTAGATAAAAACCCAAATTGAGATACAAAATAACTGACCTATATCCTTTAAAAAATTTCAATAAATAAAAGACTTGGCAAACTGTTTCAGATTAGTGGAAACTAAAGAGATACAACAGTTGAATACAATGTGTGACGTGATTCCAGCCTTTATTTTGCTAATAATTGGAACAACTGCCAAAATCTGAATAAGGTCTGTAGTTAGACATTGATGTTTAAGAGTTACTCTCTAACTGTTATGAAGAGAATGTCCTTATTTTTAGGAAATACATAGTAAAAAGTGCTAAGATATAAGTGGCAACATTATCATTTGAAATGGTACGGTATGTATATATTTAGAGAGAAGTAGAAAAAATAATAAAGCAGATATGGTAAAGTATCAACATTTGGGAAATATGGGTGAAGGATATTTGTAAATTCTTTGTACTATTACTGTTAACTTTTCTTTAAGGCTGTAACTGTCAAAATTCAAAGAGAAAAAAATAATAGACTACAGAAAGTATAGATTAATAACATTCCTTAATGAATTTGAGAATGAAAGAAAATAAAACTGCACTGAAAAGCAAAGGCTAGCAATCTACCAGGCTCACTCATGTACTGGCTGATTATCTCTAAATAATACCATCAGCAAAATTACGTCATGGAGTTACTGTCAACCTCATGAATGTCAAAAAATACCTATAGAATAGCTCTATTCTAAAATAAGCAACACAATTAGCTTTGAATAATGTAAGATAAAATTCTCAATACATAATTTTGCACCTTAAATATTAAAAAGCTATTTTTTCTTACAACATCAAAATACAATGTAAATGCTGTAAATGCTCCTTTAATACTTTTAACATTTAAAGCGACTTAGGCCTAATGACATTATTTTTCTCTTTTCTGTTTTTCAATGCATTAATACTCTTGCTGGTGAAAAAAAGAAAGAAAAAGAGAGAGAGAGAGAGAGAAAGAGAGAGAGGAAGGAAGGAAGGAAGGAAGGAAGGAAGGAAGGAAGGAAGGAAGGAAGGAAGGAAGGAAGGAAGGAAGGAAAAGAAAGAAAGAAAAGTTTAAACAAACATCCTAACAGTTGCAAAACAGCACAGATGTCTGCTGCCATACGCTATGATCTCTGATCCCACAGATTAACACTAACATTTATGCAGGAAGCTGAGGAAATACTGAATATGGAGAGGAAAAATAGTAGTAAGTGAAGCTAAAATCTTTGTTTACTAGCAACATTATTTAAGCAATAACAAAAGTTTAATGGAGAGTGAACTCTTAAAAAAATAAATAAACCCAGGTGTTCTTCATTTTTAAGGACAAAACAGCTCATTTTTAAATATATATCATTGTTTATTTTTTAGTTCATGTTTGAGTAGGTCGTAAATTCAGTGTTACAAATGATGCATACAATAATTAACAGCAGGTAGAAGACTTGGTATCACCTTCACTTAATATCTCAATAAATGGGCTAGAATTATAGCAGAGATTTGATGGGACATAAAAAATACCCCCAACAACAAGGATTCCCTAAAAAGTTTTGCAAGTGACATTTTTAGAGGCCTTAAGAGACTCAGATCTTCAAGATTACCTTTACTCATTCACCCACTAGGAATCGGAGGACCAGGGAGGTTCAGCGACCTCAGTTACACAGGGAGTGGGAGCAAAGTGATAAACAGTAAAAGCCTACCACTCCTGGATCTAACTTTAGTACTCTACATATTGACTCAACAGAATCCACACAAGTGGTTATAAAGAGAAGAAAAAAAAGTAGAATTTGCAGACATATTGCATATTTAGTCAAATCTTGTTTGCTTGAAACGCTCTGCAATGAAACCTGACACAGAGAAGATTCTAAATGAAAGCTACTATGTTCCCAAAGACTATTTATCCAACCCCAGAACCAGTTCTTTCAGTTACTATTTTTCTGATAACAGAAAAGAATTCTAATAAAATAGGTATGCAAATTACCAATATTTAGTTTTTTTTAAATTAGATTTTTTTCCTACCTTAACTGCTATTTAGCTACTAATTTATCAAATGTCCACTATGTACCAGGGATAGCTAAGTACTTTATATGCACAAACTCATGTACTCATTTTGGAGTCTAGGAGTAGATGTCTCAGTGACAGAGAATTATCTTCTGTGGGTTACAGAGACAAAAACCTTGAAGTCACAACATAACAGCTGAGTCAAATCATATCACAGGCTGGCTTTTATTATAAATATAGACCCTCTCCAAAAAGAAAATAACAGAACTCCCCGAAACATATTTAAATTTAACAGACAAAAAAATTAAGGCCTAAAAAGGTTAAGTAACTTACATAAGATTATAGAGCTAATAATAAGAGGAGGAGCCAGGACTAGAACCCAAGTCAGGCTTCCAAGTCCATCCTCTTAAATCCTAGGCTTATTCCTTACATTTTTACAGTGAAATAAGACAACATTTAGAAATTAAAATCGGTTTATCTTTAATACAAGTACACAAAGAATAAATTAAAATCATGATACAGTATAATCGGAAACTCATTTAACCATATCTCCATATAGACTTTTTACAACAAGGCTATGCTGGGTATTAAGATTATCAAGTTCTTAAAAATAACATGCAATTTTAAAGTACTTAAAACAACCTATCAAAGTATTAGAGGATTAAGATTAAAATTGGTTATTCTAATAAAGTCAGGGTAAATATAAGTCAACACAAATAAAATGCCTTCTTATCCCTAAGGCTGACCTGGTATGCACATCCACATACCAAAATAGCATGACCTTTGATCCTTTCCCACTATACTACGGTTAAACTTTTCTATATGCAATCACTGGCTGATTTTCTCCAGAGGTGACACTCTGCTTCTTCTACAATATACCATGGGAGAATTTTACTTTTGGGCTTTTTTTTTTTAGGTCTTGCTTAATTTTTAAGAACATATTTTTCCCAGCTACTGCTTTAACACATCAGAACCTAGAATATATTTACCTTGCTGAATTTCAGTAAGTCATTTATATCTTTCCATAGCTGGGATTTCAATATTTATCTTAGAAAGTAGATTTAAACATTACTTTGTACTTGTCACCATGAATTATATGAATTACAGACTACATGGATTGAGGTAATAATAGAAGTGAAAAAATAATTTTAAAGTATATTTCCCACTATTAACCAGGTGAATTAGGATGATTAAAGCTCAGTAAGCAATAGCTGTAACTAATTTTGTAACTCTTGCACTAGTAGCTCTCAAATGAGTCATTCTTAGATAATGTGCTAGATAGTTTGTTTTCCCAATTAAATTGTTTAAATTACTTCCCTAGGTCTTGACTGAGTAGCTCAGTTGGTTAGAGCATCGTCCCAATAGGCCAAGGTTGTGGGTTCGATCCCTGGTCAGGGCACGAATAAGAATCAACTCATGAATATATAAATAAGTGAAACAACAAATCGATGTTTCTGTCTGTCTGTCTGTCTCTCTCTCTCTCTCTCTCACTCCCCTTTGCCCCCTCACCTCTCTCTCTCTAAAAGTAAATGAATAAATAACCTTCCTAAAACTTTTATTTCCCACTGGTACAATCTAAGAATGCACATCTTACCTGTCAGGATTGTCTGAAAAGCAGCTTCTACATTTGTAGAGTCTAGAGCTGATGTCTCAATGAATGACAAACCATTCTTTTCTGTAAGAAGACACAAAAACTTCACTTTTGTCAAATTTTAATACAAGGGATGTAATACACTTAAACCTTCAAAGAGAAAAGTAAAAGATCTTTCTTAATCCCAAGACCTCCCCAACTTCTTGAGCGATAAGTGTACCATTCTGCTTATTCTTTAGTAGATTAAAAATAATCATAAAATTTTTTTACTGAATTCATTAAAATACTTATTCTATCTAAATACTACCACCAGAATGAATAACACTACTCAAAATATACTAAACTTACCAAATACGCAGCTACTTCCATCCCCTACTGTCCCTTCAACCACATAGCTATGGTATTAACAAGAATGGGTATATGTGATTCATTTGGAATTCTGTAACTATATATATTATCTGAAAAAAAGCTTCGTGCCTGGGAAACTAAAGAACTGCTCAAGAAAATGGCACAATCACTAGTGGAGGGTCACAGCTTCCACTAGCCAAGAATGTACAATGTTGCCCACTGATAGGATGCCCCTCCAGAGCAGTGGCAAGAGATAGGTGGACCCTCTATAAAGCTAAGAAAGTTTTAACTCCTCAGCAGCTAAATGCCTATTGGTGTTTGACACTCCCTGGAGTACTACTTTTGAGACCCACATATAGAGCGGCCTTGGTGAAGCACAGAAACATAACGGAAAAAAACACAGAAGCACAGAAGATATTTCATCCACCCTTTCCAGGGAGAGAAGACAGTACTTATATTCAATTTCTGGCAGCAAAAACTCAAAGTACTACAATGTTTCAATGACTCAAAGTTAAGCAAGAGCCCTGCAGCCATCACACACTTTCAAAATGATCCTTGCTGAGCATTCATTATTCATTCATGTTTATCTTTCCAAAATTACTGTAACTGATTACCCCCATTGGAAGGATTATCAAAACTTTAGGATATAACAGTAAGAAATACAGAATCACCATAATAACATGAAATCCGGATCACTAACCTGCAAAAGCTCTTGCTTCATCTGTAGGAACTGCCCTGAGATGACGCAAATCACTCTTATTGCCCACAAGCATGATAACAATGTTACTATCAGCATGATCTCTCAGTTCTTTCAGCCATCGCTCTACATTTTCATAGGTGAGATGTTTAGCAATGTCATAAACCAATAAGGCACCTACAGCTCCACGATAATATCTGAAAACAGAAATACGTGTAACTATTAGAAGACAACCACAAAATGGAAGGGAACATCAGGAAGAACTAAATATATGGATTATATATATTTAAAAACATATTTATAAGTAAATTTCAAAATCCTAAAACTGGATTTCTGAAAAGGAGGGAAAAACAATAACTTTTCCAATACCAAAAGTCTGCTAATTCACTTGATGGCAAACAATTTACGTGATGGCAACCTATTTCACAGAACTTGAAAACTGTTGAGACTTACGCTGATGTTATAGCTCGATATCGCTCTTGCCCAGCTGTGTCCCATATCTGTGCCTTTATTGTCTTCCCATCAACCTGGATGCTTCTTGTTGCAAACTCTACTCCAATGGTGCTCTTGCTTTCAAGATTAAACTCATTTCGAGTAAATCGAGACAAGAGATTACTCTTTCCAACACCAGAATCTCCGATAAGGACAACTGAAAAGACAAAGAACTTTATGTCAGAAGAATGAGACAAACACGCTACCTCAGAACAGAGACTTTCAAACAGTGTGACACAAGAATCTTTAAAACATGCAATACCTAACAATTTTAGTCAGGGGCACTAACCTCTTTTCTCTTAGATTGTCAAATTAAAAAAATGACAACACAATAGCCTTCTGGTGTGAGTGAATCAAAATTATACCTATTTTTTTATTAGATCAGCAAAAAAATATTTTTTGGTGTGCTGCAGAATTTTAGTAATTAGCTTATGTGTGCATGAGATGAAAAATGTGGAAAATTGCTGCCTTAGAAGGTATTAACTTGAAAGATAAATCCTAAACTAAATGAACAATTTGTGGTATTAACTTCTATCTGACTTTAAAGCAACAAAAGATGTTAGTGGGTGGTGGAGAGAGAAAAAATGAGTATTGTGTTCGACTTAGTTTCATCAAAGACTGGGTCTGACTTTAGGACTCACACCTAGGCAGAACGAAATACATTCAACATGAGGCATCAGGTTTATAAACTCTGCCACCCAGATCACAGAAACTACAATGACCATTTAATAGTTGCATTTATCAGATTGGCAAGAAACTAGAGACCACTCCAAAAACAAACACTCCATCCACTAAGTTTAACAGGGGCCCTAGAAAGGTAGTAAGTCTGAGCCAACAGCAAACATATACTTTCACTTACCACTTTATTAATTTTTTTTAAAAACTTTTTTTTAACTGATTTTGGAGGGGGGGGTGAGAGAGGGAGGAGAACAGAGAGGAAGACGGAGAAGGGAGAGAGACATCCATTTGTCGTTCCACTTATTTATGCACTCATTGGTTGCTTCTCATATGTGCTTGGACCTGAGAGTAAATCCACAACACTGGGATATGGCAGCAACACCCTATCCAAATGAGCTACCCAGCCACGGCCTTAAGACAGGTTTTGATTAGATGAATTTATTTCCTACAATTACTATTAGGAGGCAGTGCATTTACTAACTAAACACATGAGGATTCTTTTTCACTGAAGGCAGTATTGCACTTAAGAATTTCAAAAACAATGGAGAAACAGGCAGTTAACTTATTTTAAATCATGTCTATCTAAATTTAAAGAACAAAATGAGTTCACCAATTTGTAGGATCTGAGCTTGGTAACATTTTTTCCTTTGTAAAAATTTTATAGGTATTTCAGAAAATACTATATTTATTCCCACTGTGAACTACTAATGCTTCTTCATACTTCTTACTAGCTAATTGATACAGACTCCAGGACTAGAAAATCAAACGTGTAACAGTAACGCCTAAGAATAAGACCATGCCTTACTAAAGAAATTGGGATTTCTTTATTAAGGGGAGCAGGGAGGGAAGTAAAAACTGAGAGTTCATTGCATTCTGCTTAGAGGGCAAAGAGAATCTATTATGCATTCCTTCCTTGCCACAAGAGCAGGTATAAGCTGGCCTCTAGACAGTCTTGTAGGCAGAATATTATCAAAAGTGTTTCTTTCTGGTTTCCTCTATCAGCTGATTAAGCAAGAAATCATCCAGAGAACAATGATTCTATGCAGCACAATGAGTAGTTATTTCTAGCTATATAGTCAATTGGAGGTGGCAAAGGTATCATGGCAAACACAGATATAATAAATGCTTTAATTTGGATACCAAGGAAGAACATATTAAGGTTATGAAAATAACATATAAAGACAATACAAGGTCTGTCCAGACGGTATCCGGCTATGTACTATGAAAAATAGAGATAATGAATAAGATATAAGACACAAGAAACACTGTACATAGGACAATGATCCCTCAGTCCCCTTCCAAGTAGGCACCTTGGGACCTCACACAGTTCTCCCAATTGCCATCACCTGCCCTATCGTATCTTCCTGAATCTCATCAATTGTCTGATATTTCTTCCCTTTTGAAGGTGATTTTAGTTTTGGGAAAAGCCAGAGATTACAGGGTGCCAAATCTGGGCTGTAGGGGGGCTGAGTCACCTGGGTGATTTGATGTTTCGCCAAAACCTCTGCATGGGACATGATGCATGAGTGGGTGCATTGTTGTGATGAAGCTGCCAATCGCCAGTTGCCCATAGCTGGGGCCTTCGGAATCATCTGAATAGTTTCCACAGAGGAATGAATGTTCAAGCATAACGCAAAATTTGATGCAGATTCATTGCTCTATTCGCTTAGTCATTTTGAATGTGACAGCCACACAGTACACATGTTCACTCAATGGCGTCTACCAACCCCACTGACTACTACAGTGAAGTTGTCATTGTTCACGCATGTGCATTCCAGTCCACTCTCCTTGGGTGCCAGGTTACATTGATGTTGCACAAATCATTCCTATTATTTTAACAATGGCTGGACTTTTTCTGGACAGACCTTGTCATATACTTCCAACTTTACAGAAAGGCTGATTGACTTCTCAGTTCCCAAAGTCCACCACTCTGGGCGTGAGGTCAAATCTGAGTTTCAATAATAGAATATAACCCTCTTAATAGGATACTTACTACTGCTTCTTAGTGCAAGAGATCAAACGTTCTCCTGAGGAAATAGCCTTTGAGTCATTTCTGGCCCCACACGAACACTGAGGTATAAAAGCCTCAATTGAAATGGGAATAGGAAAGAAGAAAACCAAAAAGTTGACCGTTTCTATTTCATAGGCACTCATTTCAATTAGTAGGAGTTCAGGAGCCAAAGAGAAAGACATCTAGAATGACAATGTCTTTAGAAAATTAAAGAACACCTTCCTCCTCCCACAAAAACTCCAGCCCTTTCAAGTTTTTGGTTTCTTGCCTTTTGACCTCCACTTTAACTAATAATTATCTCCACTGTCTCCTCATTCTCAAATCTTTAAACCATCATAAAGTTAGTGAGGGTATTTTTTTTCCTCCTCAATGTAACCAATTAATTTTAACATTATAAAAAAATAGCATCTTTAGCTGAAAATAATTCAAGACTCATGAATGCTTTATACAACATAAATAGCTTTTTCAACTAAACATAGACAAGATTGCCAGAACTATACTAGCAACTTGTTAAAGGGGTCTATCTTTAATTACAACAGAATGGATCTTTAAGAATACTGCTGCAACCTGCCCAAGTGGCTCAGTAGATCATCCTGTGCACCAAAAGGTTGCATGTTCAATCCCCAGTCAGAGCGCATATGGGAGGCAACTGATCCATGTTTCTCTCCCACATCTATGTCTGTCTGTCTGTGTGTGTCTCTCTCCCAAATCAATAAAATATCCTCCAGTGGGGATTAAAAAAAAAAAAAGAATAGTGTTGCCAAGATGATGCTGAGAAATGACATAAGAAGGAAAGCTGCTTCTATTCAGTTACTAAATGAGAAACCAAACCAACAAGTAAACATTTAGGCTCACTGAAGAGATACACAAACTAGAATAGATTAAATTACCTAAGCAACAGAAGAGAATTTACTGGCTTTAATTTAAAAAACAAACCAAAAAACTAAATTTCATGGGCTCAAAGATAATTTCTAATCAGTTTCTCATTAAGATGATAATATTTCATTGAATTTTTAAAATATGACAAACTATATGATCATATCCTACAGTGCAAGAAAGGAATTTGTAGTGCCTTTTCTGTTTTCCATAACTAATATGTTAGGTTAAAAGTACTTTAAACATTTTATAATTGTAGCCATCTATGTAAAATATATAAAGATAAATAACAGCATCTATATATGGAACAGCTACAGCATTTCTAAAATAACCTAATAGTCTTTATTACCACTTGGTTAACCTTATCTGCTGAATTTTAAGTATCATTGCTAACCCCTAATACTAAACTTGGTTCAATATATATTAAATATTAGGCTGCTAAATGCCATTAAACCAGAATATACATAGTATGTTATTTAATTAAAATTTGTACCTGCTCAACCACATTTAGTTTTGTACACTCCCTTACAAACTAATATACTGGATTAAAACTTAAGTCAACAGATCAATCAATCTTAGTACATCAGACCTGTAAGTTATTACTGAAGGAATGATTCATAATTTCCATACTGGTTTTTATAAATAAACATGGAGAGATCTTTCTACTCTTTCAACTACAGGATGGGGAAAAAGTAGGTTTACAGTTGTGAGTACACCAAACACATTTTATTCTTATATTATGATTTATTGATTATTGTATAATTTTCCCCTTGAACAACTGTAAACCTACTTTTGTGCCACCTGTATATTCATAGTACCTCACCAAAAGAGTCTTTAAAATAAAATGCATTCAAAATAAGGCTGAAGTCTAAACATGTTTTTCCAGGCTCAGCAGATTCTGAGTTGCTCAAGCAAAAGTTGTAAAGAAAAACTACCAAGATGCAAGACAGCAAAATTCATATGATTATTTCCACAGACAATGAGCTGATAGTTAATTACTACTGAACTTCAATGAAATGAAAAAGAAAATGGTGCAGACTAAGTATCCAGGTATTTTCTGAAAATGTGACTGACTGGTTGGTGTCCACCAAAACATCTGTAAATAGGAACTATGATTGACTGTGTTCCACAGGGCCTTAACCAGTGTGTGGGTAAATAGTTGTAGAATTAAAGTGTTTAAGATAAATAAAAAGTCAAGGTTTTGTTTCAATTTTCACCTGAGTGCATGCTCATTGATTTTAGAGAGAGGGGAAGGGAGGGAGAGATATAACCCATGTGAGAGAGAAACACCAATTGATTGCTTCTTCTATGCACTCTGACCAGGACAGACCCTGCAACCCAGGCATGTGCCCCAACCAGGAATTGAACCCACAACCCTTTGGTTTACTGGACAATACTCCAACCAACTGAGCCACACTGGACAGGGCAAAAAGTCAACTTTTTAAAAATAAAGTTAATCCCCCATCAAAAATCTCAATGCTAAACTTAACCAAAAATTAACATACAAGAACAATTACATAATTTAGAATAACTGCCCAGTTCTGCCCACACTGTATACCCATTTGGACCACTCCATCCTGTACTAATCAAAATATCTCTTCATTGTTAACTGGTTAGAGTTACAAACTAACTTCTAATTCCCTCAACCATTAAGTTTGCTAGGTAAGCCTTCTTCCAAGTAGAGAGCTGCAGCTCATCTCATCTACAGAATGAAACCATTTTAAAATGAAATTATTGTCACTTCATTTAAATTATAGTAATTATATAAATAAGAATTTGGCTAAATAATCAGCACTGAAGAAGAAAAAAGAAAGTGACTCATATCCTGTAAGAACTTTAAAAAAGTGGAAATCCTCAGCAGAATTTTTTAAACATCCTACCTTAAACAGCAAAATGTACAACAAAATGAATCCATGGAAACAAAGTACTTTAGAAGTTCCTAGTTTTATTACTAATATTGAAATGCTCTTATATGTATAAACATTTATGGTTAAAAAAACCTGACAAACCCTGGCCAGGTAGGTCAGTTGGTTAGAGCACTGTTTCCACAACGTTGCAGATTCAATCCCCCAGTCAGGGTACATACAACAATAACCAATGAATAAATAAATAGGTGCAACGACAAATTGATGTATGTCTGTCTGTCTCTTTCTCCCCCGCTCCCCCACCCCCATTTCTTCCTCTCACTAAAATCAATCACTCAATAATTAAATAAAACCAACACCACCACAGTAACTTTTTTCACATTGTTTCACGCTTCTTTACCATTTACTGAGTACGCACAGAAACTAAAATCTAACAACCAGTCCCATTTAATTTTCACAACAGTCCTGCAAGGTACCTATTATTTCCTTTTTATAAATGAGGGAACTGGAGCTCAAAAAGTTAACTTTCTCAAGGTCTTAAAGCAAATTTAAGACGTGAGTCAGGATTTGAATCAGGCCTGAGTGATTACAAAGCCCTGTGCTCTCAATCATTGTTAGTAGGATGTTCTAATCTCAAAATTAAGTTAAAATTCCTTATGCCAATGAAGGATAATATTCTTAATGGAAAAAAAATAGCTTCTATAACCAACATTTAAGTTCCAAACCAAAAAGGAGAAATACTCTTGACAGCCTATCTCGGGGATTTTCAACCGGTGTGCTGCAGGAATTTTTAAAACACGCAATACCTGACTATTTAGTCATGAGTACTGACCTCTTTTCACTTAGTCAAATTAAAACAGTGACAACAGCTGTCCAGTGTGAATAAATCAAAATTATACCTACTTTTTTTGTCAGATTGGCAGACAACATTTTTTTTGGTGTGCTGCAAAAATTTTAGTAATTAGTTTATGTGTGCCATGAGATGAAAAAGTTGAAAATTGCTGTCTATTGTGTTCTAAATTAATTACTTCAAAGGTAGCTAGCTGCCCACTGTCACCGCACCTCATTAAAAAAAAAACAACTCTCTTTAATAGTTAAACCCCAGTCTCCAAGGTCTTACTTTAAGTGACCTCATCTGACCTCAGATGACTTCAGCAAACAACATGTAAAATGCCTTAAATACCCTCTTCTTGTAAATGACTTTCCCCATTGGGGGTGGGGGTGCATAATGAACATACTCTCCCCCTGTTAATAGAACATTCTGGCCCAGAAGAGTAACTGGTGATAAGGGTTTATCATCAGCTAGTATGCCCAGATTTGCAAAGTATTGGTAAAGCAAAATGTTACCTGCTACATTTGGTCAATCATTCTTAGCACCTAATGGCAGAGTCAGAAATTGTCACCATGCTTAACACTCTTTGTAAAAAAAAAAAAAAAAAAAAAAAAAAACGAGAAAAAAAAAACCCTCTACCCTCCAACTGTAAAGCTGTAATAGTAATGGCTTCTTCCTCCCTGGTAAAGATCTTTGTTCAACATATCACTGATGGCTGCCCTCCTAATTCAGGAGCAATGAAAAGGGCATCAGAGTGAGAACCCATTCACTGAACAAGAGAGCATTTACTTGTACTCTCTTCTCATTGAAAACTGTACCCTTTATCTCTGTGGATTCTTTCCGGTCTAACCAATAAGCAATTCTTTTTATTCACTCCCCACCTTCCAAAATGTTTTGTCCGAGGACACTACGTGTTTCCCAGTCTAATATTTAATTTGACCAAAGAGAACATAACTTCTCCCCGCCCCCCACCTTTAGGGGAAAGGTATGCAGCCAACTAGGACTCTTCCTGTTCTAAAAACACCAAAAGGTTGGATCCTCCCAGTGCTGCGGCAGGAAGCAACCAGTCCATAGTGATAAAGCAAGCTAGTATTTGTGCAGCGCACAACCTTTCCTGCTCAGGAACTGGGCCTTCAGGTCTGGCAAGGATAACAGCCAACACCCATCCGCAACCCCTTCTCGGGAGCTGAGTCAAGAGTTATCCCGGGCTGGTGGCCCCTGGGTAGGGAGAGTAGGAAATAAAAGGCTAGGTGGGAAATCACATCAGTCTACGGGGTCACTGCGACAAGTGCGTGCGTGGGGGGACGGACAATCCCTCTTGCCCAACACCCCCACCCCCAACCCTCGGGGTCGCAGAGGAGACCTCGGAGAGCTCTCAACTATTTGGGAAGAGAAAGTAGAGAAAGAGCTACCAATCCCGGGGACAGTGGGAGGTTACTGACGGCGAGAACTGTGGGGCGGGTGGGAGCCGCTGGCCCGCTCAGATTTTCGCGAGGGCCTGGCCGGGCGATGGAAGAAACTGGCTAGCAGAGCTGTCTGTCCGAGAGGAGGGCGGGCCTGTGAGGAGAGACGCAGAGGAGCGGCTCGCCCGAGGGGAAAAGGGGGCAGATAAGAAAGACTAGTGAAGGTAGCCTGCTCCAGGCAAGGTGAGAAGCGTAGCGAAGGGTGGGTCAAAGGGGTGCAGGAAGGGGAGTGAGCCCGGCAGGGTGCATACTGAGGAGGGGACGCTAAATCCGAAAGCTAGATGGTGGGAGGGGCGACCCCTCTGAAAGGGCCCTAAAACCCGGGAAAGGCAGATGCTTTGGAAGAAGGCAGTACGCTGTAAGGACACTTGGTGAGGGGCTCTTTAAGGGCCTACAAGGAGGGTTCTAAGAGACCGGTGTGTGGCGAGGACTCCCCGTCTTTATGAGGAGAGAAAAAGGGGCCGAGCTGGAACACCGCAGGACAAACCACGCAGAGAGGGAAAGGCTAAGGCCAGTACAGGGTAGCCCGACGCGGGCCCCAGGGAGCGTCCCGGACCCTCGAACGGGACTCGGTGGAGAGTGGGAGAGCCAGTGACCTCACCTTTGAAGAGATAGTCGTACTCGTCGTCGCGGGTGCCCATTGCGCGGCCGAGGACTGAAGGGGCGGGAGCAGCAGTGGTATCGGTGGGACCAGGGGGCGTCGCTGCAGGGGTAACCCAAGCGCCGAGCTTCAGCAGCCGGACCGGGAGAAGAACCCCTCCCTGCCCTGCGTCACTTCCGGGGAACTGCAGGCCCCTAAGGGCAAGTACTTCCGGGGAGGTACCGCCCCCGCCCCAGAGTCCAGGAAGGGCGGTCTGAGCGAGCACCGCGTGGGTCTCCAAATTCTCATCCTCTCCTAGAGGCTCAAAGAAAAAACGACCTTGGACTACCAGCTGATCACACTATTAGTGGCTGCTCACCACACTCTTAGTGGCCTCTCCCTCATTTCCCTCAACCCCATGCTGGAACTGATGACTTTCTCAATGGTGGGGTCTTGGTTGGGGAGTGGAGTAATTAGGAGGCGGAAGGAGGCCTCGTATGCGTAGTGGTTCCATGGTGTAATGGTTAGCACTCTGGACTCTGAATCCAGCGATCCGAGTTCAAATCTCGGTGGAACCTGTGTCGTTAGTGACTTTTTTTTTCTTTACCAATACTTTTAGTTCTTTTAGTTATTCTCTATGTAATTGTCAAACAACTACGGTATATATGGTCTTGAACTGAGTAAGGAGGGAATCTCATAAAATTTAACGTTTGTCTAAGATCTCACAAATTTAGCTCTTTAATCCGGTACTTTCTCTCACCTCTGTGTCTCCTAAGCAGCCTCTTCACTTCTCCTTTTAATATGGGTTGTCTTCCTCAAACCTTATTTGAAAAGCTTGGATGAAACTTGATTCCTTTTGCTATTTTTCAACCTCCACCTTCGTGCTTTTCACTCTTTTTATTTCCACATGTCATTAAGAGAATTTTGCCCACCCTCCTCATCAAGATTCATCAAGAACTTCTTGAATCACATTATTCATGCTCTAGGCCATCGATTTTCAATTGGCGTGCTGCAAGAATTTTTAAAACATGTAAAACCTGACTACTAGTCAAGAGCACTGACCTCCTTGCCCTTAGATTGTCAAATTAAAAAATGACTACAGCCAATACAATAGCTGTGGGGTGTGAATGAATCAAAATTATGCCTATATGTTTGTCAGATTGGCAAAATATGTATACTGTTGGCATGCCGCAGAATTTCAGTAGTTTATGTGTGCCATGAGATGAAAAAGGTTGAAAATTGCTGCTCTAAGCTAAACTCGTTTGCCTAATTATTTCATTTAACACACAGCAAAGATGGCAATTTCCATTTTATCAGAAATGTGGATACTAATATCACGCAGCAGGGCCACTCTATTTAAAGAGAGTTGTTATTCCAAAAAGCTTTTCCCATTTATCCTCCCCCACGCCTGCCCCCCCACATCACCTACATGAAAACTTTCAATTTAGACTTTTGAGCAGTGTGCCTGTAATAAGCAAAATTACGGCACCCCAAAGATGTCCACTTCCAATCCCTGGGACATTGTCACATTGGTGGCAAAGCAATTGATTTTAAAAGAGGGAAATTATCCTGATTCTCCAGGTGGGCCTAATGTTGTTACCAGGTTTCTTAAAGTGGAAAAGGAAAGCAGAGGTGGTCAGAGTGATGTGGTGTGAGAAGGCCTTGTAAAAAATAGTAAATAGAGCCACTTCAAAATGGAGTCAGAGCTGATGTCCCAGGGGAACTAACTTGCATGCCTTACTCCTCAAACCAGTTGGGACATTAAAACTGGGTCAAATAACCTTTGGACTGGGCCTAAAGCAATATTGTACTCAAGACAACTGTTTGCAAAGCTAACAGGATAGCAGGCATGAACACTGGACTGAAAATTAAAGATATTCTTCAGAATTAGCATCACTGACTATTTCAGTATTTCTGCACTATAGAAATTCCTTCCTTCTATTCATATAATTATTCCCCATCTCTTTCTCATAAATATTCCTTGTCTTCACCTCCTAATCAAAACCGTATTTGGGTTTCTTTCTGAATCAGCCCTTCCTTAATAGCTGTTCTTTTGGATCTCGAATAAAGGCTTGTTGCCTCTCACTTTGGCCTTTATTTTTAGATTTCAACCTTGTTAAAAATAAGAAACAACAGGCCAAAATGGAGTGATCTCACCAACCTAAAACTTAATAACTAACCTAATTTCAGTTTCTGCCTCTCCCAGGAGTAGTATTTTAAACCAATCAGTCTGGAATATCCTGATCAATGCTAGTGAGGTAGGTAGGTAATCTTTATGATAAAACCTGTGCCATTTCCCTCTCCCAAAAAAACATGAGCCCTGGCTGTCGTGGCTCAGGGATTGTGGGCCCACCTGTGAACCCAGAGGTCTGTCTCGTTTGATTCCCAGTCAGGGATCCTGCCTAGGTTGCAGGCCAGGTCCCTGGTTGGGGGCGTGTGAGAGGCAACCAATGGATGTATCTCTCACATATCATTGATGTTTCTCTTCTCTTTCTCCCTTCCTTTCCTTCTCTCTAAAAATAAATAAATAAAAATCTTTAAAAAAAGAAAAGTGAGGTGGCCTTAAAATAATCCTTTTTTTCTTTCTGTGACAACACCCCTTCTGCCTATAGAAGTCCTTCATTTTGAACAACCCCTTAGAGCTCCCTTCTAGTTGCTAGATGAGATGTTGCCTGATTCATTAATTGCTTTAAAAGAGCCAATTAGATCTTCTAATTTACTTGGTTGAATTTCATACCTTAACAGTCTCAGCAAGAACTTGTGGCTTTGAAGATGAAGGAAGAGGGCCAAGAGCCTAGGAATTCAAAGTCTTCTAGAACATGGAAAAGGCAAAGGAATGGATTTTTCCCTAAGGCCTCCCGAAGGAACACCACCCTTGATTTTAGCTCAGTGAGACATCACCAAGTTTGTGGTAATTTGTTACAGCAGCAATAGACAACTAATACAGTATCATTTTCCGTGTTTTCTGTGACTGTATAAAGGAATAGGTTTATCTAATGCCTCGATACTGCCTTGTGCAGGGGTGAACATTATCCACATTAAAGAAGAAACACAATATTATTCACACAACCAAATATTTGCACTATTGATTATTTCTAAGACACAGTCCTAGCATTACTCGGATGGGTACACAAGATGAGCCCAAGAGGAATATCAGTAACTAGACAGTTCTAAAGAAGTAAATAATGAGAATTCTGGTGATAAGTGCCACAATTCAGAGAGAGAGAGAATTAGAAGGAACTCCCTGGAGGAGAAAGAACTAGCATTGACCCAGGAAGGGAGAAGCAAGAAAGGAAACTCATTTTGGGAAATGAAGGAAATTAGATGATAAGAAAGTGTTGAGCAAGGCAATTAATGCCAGGAGAATAATTATAAACTTTTTCCCTTCAATCGCTGTTTTTTAATGTGTGTTATGAGATGGTCAGTACTGTTCCTCAAAAGAAAGATAGCATGGTCAAATAAATTAAGAACTACACATAGTCCATCCCTCCCACCCCAGCCCCCTTAGAAATTCCCTTACGTTGGAAAAAAAGGAGCCACATAATAAAGCTGACAAGCCCAGGGGAGGCCTACATATCAAGCCTTACACAATCAGAGACATAAAGTAACCACATAGGATGGTCTGAAATTAAACTTCCTAACTAAAGGCAAGTCATGGCAAGTACTCATGTCCCAGGCCAGTATCTTCCTTGGCAAAGGTCAATCTTTACCACAACTGAGCTTGTCTATTGTCTTTTAGCGTCTATAATAACATACCTTCAGGATGTCAGGGTAATCTCCTTTTCCCAGACCCCTCAGGGCACAACTGCTACACCAGAGCACACCTTTATCACCATTGATAACAGATGTTCCTTCCAGAGAAAGCCAATAGTGAGAAATATAGTTGGTTGAGAGTCTCCAGCTGTCGCACCTTCAGGAGCCACTGCAATGTTTACACTGAAGCCGCGCTCTATCTGGACTATTCCTGACAATGACTGAGCATGGTGAGGGTAGTAGAGCTGGACCAGTTTTGTCCAAAATAGGGCTCTTCTAATAGGCCGTCTTTGCTTTTGAGCTCTCCATTGGGCTGGATGAGACTTTTTCATTATTGCATTAAGGTCTTAAGCTCTTTCTCACCAATCCTCCTTCCTTCCCTCTCTCCTTGCATAGATATTGAACCTAAATTATGGCTTGAAACCCCCACTTCTTCCTTTGGTCCTTCACAGGCATTTCCCTCAAATCAATCTCTTATATTTCCAATTCATCTGGTGTCAGCTTCCGGAGGACCTGACTCTGAAACAGTCCCATTTGTCAAGTTTTCTTCTCTTATGTTAACATCACTCTGCTTTATTATACACAGGGTGGGCAAAAGTATGTTTACCATTGCACTGTGACATTCTTTTGAGTTAATAAAGCTATTGTAATAATCATAACCTGCATGTCTTTTCCCATGCAAACAACTGTAAGCCTATTTTGCCCACCCCTCTATTAATGTCTCATTTGTGGTACTGTAACTGAACAAAAACAGTGAAGTTTCAGCTGCCTGTCGCCACAAAAGCCAGACTTGTGAGGCAGACACTGGTGCAAAAGGAAAGAGGTTTTATTCAGGTGCTGCACAATCTGGGGAATTAGTAGGCTCCTATCTCAAAGTCCACTGCCTCAGCAAGGCCAAAACAAAAGCCAGTGTCCAGAGGTCCTGCTCCAACTTAAAGTACAGTCTTTTGGAGCCCACAGGTGGCTGCTGAGGGGTCATTGACTCCATCTACGTAGCTTAGTTTGTTCCCAGCTGCCGTTCATTTCAGGCCACCTCCTAGGGCCTGCATGTGGAGCTTACATGGCTAGGGGTCATGCGGCTGCCTGTGCCACATGGTCATGGTCTCCTAGGAAAGAGAGCGTGTGAATACCTGGGCTAGTGCTTCACTAGGTGGGCAAGAGAGAGTGAGAGGCTCCCTCCTGGAGGCCATGGGCAACATGGATGATAAAGTCACGTGGCCCATGGAGAAAACAGGTGAATGCACCCTGCAGGTGCGTGTGGCAAACAAGTGAACCATGAGCCAGAGCCTAATTGTTCCCCAGGATTATTTTCACTTGGATGTGGGATGGGCCACATGTTTTCTCAAAATGACCAATCAACTTCCCAAATTTTACACACTTTGGGTGGGTCCACTTCCCAAACAATCCCTTATTTCCCCAGGCTAGACTGACTGGCCTCTTTGGTACCGCA